TTAATCAACTTTCTATAGTGTAAAATTTAATGATTTTATTACATTTTGAGTTATCATCAATTTTATCTGATGCAGTCAAAGAGCAGGCCTATTCTGTCCTGACTTCCACAGGGTAACATCTAAGGGCTACACCTTCAGGAAAAGTTTCTTAAGACCAACCCCTTTGGCATGGATTGGTTCTTTTTTAAAACAACATCCTTTATACACTTAATCAATGATTTTTAAAAAAGTAGAGCTTCAACAAAGATATGACATGGGCATGGCTGGAAGCTGATACAGTATGCAGACTGGCAGAGTATAACATCAATTCTAGACAAGATGTTGTGCATGGAAAGTCATTTCAGGTATGCACATCTGCATGCAAACCTTTTATTACAAATCAGATGTTGGTACACATATGTTTTCTACGAAAGATGTTGGTACACATACGTTTTTTATTTCTTTGTTCCAGTCAAATTTTCATCTTCACATTTGCCAAAAATGGATCATGGAATTAGAATCTTCATTTTGAAATAACTCTGCGCCAAAAATTTCATATTATTTGGACTTTGTGGAAGTGAACTACCCAAATTTTGAAATTTAGCTTTTCCTGTCATACATTTCAATGCCATTTGTAGAGCAAAGACAAATATCAAACATTCAAATAAGAATATCTAAATATTAAAAACAAAGTAACTTGCCACTGGACAGTCCAAACAACACAAAGTTTTCATTACATCTTGTGAAAGATAAAGATCTCAAATTCAATCCCTGTTTTGAGAAAGGTCAAATAAATCTTATTTTGCATCATCATTCGCAATAGATAGCTAGATGCAAAATGGATGATATTTACCTGGAATGTGAATATACACTTGTGAATGTATATAATAGTGAATATACACCTATGTGATAAAAGTATTAGGATGGTGAATAACGAAATGGCGGCTCCAAAACTTGCATTCTAACATTGATTGAGCAAATCTCACTGTTTTGGGGGGACTCTAGAAATGGCATCAGCAAAAACCTGATTCCTAACAAATTTAACTTATTTCCTACCTTTTTATGATAGAAAAGTAACAAAATGTCAGGGAGAAATGGAAAATGTCAATGTTTTAGTTTCAATGCCAAAAACACAAAAGTGACCAGAAAGAGAATGAGAAGCAATAAAATATTTGGGTCTAGACGAGTCATTTCCTTTCAAAAATAATAACATCATGGTCTTTCAATTAACGAACCCCTTAAAGTCAAAGCCTTGGTGTAATTGAAAACAACTAGTTACTATAAAAAAATCAAAGAAATGAAATCTTCTAAGACCAAAAATATACTTTTTTAGTATTTTCTTGAGATTTCCTCTTGTATCTGAAGATATTTCGTTGCAAAAATATTGCATTGAGTTCCAATGCAAATGGCCCCTGCCAGATACCTGGAGATCATCCGACAAAATATAAAATAAAACAAATGGTACTTGTCTGTCTTTTTTTACAATTTATTAAATACAATTGCAATTGAAAATCTCAACCAGCAATCTTGTTATGTTCCACCGGTTTTCTATGTTGTGTTTTTGAGCAAAGGGTTAACCACATTTGCTTTGAGGCGATCGTCCAAATACTTTTGTCCAAATACACTACCAGGACAAAAGTATTGCAACACCTGCGAAGGCGATTAATGGCGGATCACGCAATAACTTTTGTTGTTGTCTGATTAAGCTATTGTTTAATCAGCCAATGGCACGCAAATAAAATTGCAGATCCAATGAAGCGTTAATTCGAATATTCCATTTTCTTTTATCAAAATTTTAAATCAGCAATTCAAGTAACTTTTAATTAAACAGATATTTTGTGGAGATGCTTCTGGCTCTGATAAGTGCGGAAAATTGCATTGGAATTGATGCACAAAATTTGCTGATGAAAGGCACTGGGATTCTCCTTCGTTCTCCATAAACTCTCTAAGTTAGTTCTTGTTTGGATCTTAGAGAACCTTGTGGATTTCAAATCAGATCATTTTCATTGGCAACAAGAAATATTAGCTTATTTTAGGGTTAGGTCTTTGTGATGGCCGAGGAAGGACATAGAGTTTGCAGATTTTCAGGTAAATTTGAGTAAAAATGGCCTTGTAACGGGATGTTTTGCTTTTTATGATAAAAACTGCCTTCCTCATTTTCCTAGCATTAATTTGATTCCACCAAAGAAACTGTTATGCATTATTTTGACATGTTTCACTGCATTAACTCACACGTCGCTAGTTCATGATTTACTAATTTATATAGGCCTAAATGTACCAAAAAAATTATCCAAGTTTTATTGGAGAATTTCGAGGCTAAAAGAGTCAGAGCTAATAACTTCATTTGTTGTTTCCTAAACTTTCACTATTTTGCTATCATTTTCTATAAAAAGTTGCAAAATCTTTAGAGTCGAGAGACCAGTTACACAAAGTTTTATCGCAACTACTCGCTCCTTATCTTGTCAATATCTTGAATTTACCACTGCAGATATTTTTTCTTATAACTGTAAAATTTCTTACGTTAATATTGTAATTCTAAGTTTTTCGAAATCCTCAATAAATTTCGAAGAATTTGATTCCTGGTTTAGAATGATTATGCTTATTTTTGAGGGGAATATTTCAGCGTTAAGTTAAAAGTTTACAAAACTTCAAATTTTTGATGCCATTTTGATTAGGGTGTTGCAACACTTTTGTCCTGGTAGTGTACAAAGTGGTGTGCAATTTCCAATTTCGCAGTGTATATGAGTTTGCACCAATAACTAATAAAGCTATTTAATTATATTTGTTAAAAAACGAACTAAGGATTGATTTATAATAATTATGAAACTGATAAACCGAAACTTGCCGTTATTACCCACTTGACACCCATCATCAACTGAATGATTGATGATGATAAACAATGTTATTAAATAATGTTGTTATTATGTGCTTTGACATGAATTTTGTTGCATTTCTATCTAAATAATCTTTGAAAACTGGTAAAAACTATAAAATTCATACCAATAGTAAGTGAGTCTGCATTTGGTGCATTGGATAAGTGCAGGCTTTTGACAAAGCTCACAAAGAAGCTTTATCCCTTTTGGGTTGGCAAGAGGATTGACCGCCATTTTTCGGAATCCTGAGAAGCAGCTGTTGCCATAACAACAAGGGAACAATGTTGCTGCTGCTGCTCCTGGTGGTTGTTGCTGGTGTTGGTGGCTTCCTGCAGATCTCAAAAACTTGACTTTCCGTTGATTTCAAAGGTTATGAGCAAGACTTATGATCCATAAAAGATGTCAGAAGCTGGCCATTCAAGAGAAGAGGGCTCTGACGCTACAGATACCACAAAAAAATCGTCAAAAAGGAAGAACGATGAAAAGAAAAGAGCGACATCTGTTTATTCAAGATCTATGTAAACAAATGCAAATTTCTTATGATGTAAACATCAGAGGACACTAAACTAAGCTGGATAGCTGTATCCGTTTATCTCAGTGTCCTGCACAACATACCATATAAAAAAATTACTATTTTAGTTTCAACAATGAAATAATTTCTGCTATTTCTTGTAATGGCATTACTGTAATTAATCCACATCGGCATTGTTTGCCGCCCAACTTTCAAACCTGCTTAAATGAATAAACAATATATGTATGTATCTTGCATATCCTTGTTTTACAAAGAAATTTGGTCATATTTGACACAACTAGTAGCCTGATAATCAGCCTAATGCAATGTGCCTTCTTGTTTAAATAATTTTTTTCTCACAAATAAGAAACACAGAATTTTAGCGTTCTGTTCACATTTTAGTTGTGTGTAACATCTTAATAATGTTAAGTAGAAACTGATACTCTTTAATGGAAATATGAAAAATGAAACTAATGAAGTTAATTACTCCATTGTAACAATGTTACAATTTATTCAAATTCAACTTCCTCACATTTTGAAAGTAGATCAAATTTTACTCGTTGAATAAACCTTATTTTTATTATGCTTGACTGGTGAAATGTATTTTTTTGCCTACAGTAACCATGCCAACTGTCAACTCCTGGGACCAGCACCTGCACACAAACTTGGTCCAAGAGCTTGTCTTTTGGTAGCCAGAGATTTTCACAGTGATGACATCGAGAAAGACTTGTATTTATTCATTTTTTGACATCCATTTAAACAGCCAATTGCTTGCAGCAATTAATTTATAAATATCCTATTTCAAATCTCTGCAAATAGCCACATGTCTATGTTTTCAATCAAGATGCTCTATAGAGTCGAGAAAAGACTTAATTGTATTCTTATTTCAGGTTGATAATTTGTTAGGATCTCTTTTCTTAAAAGCAAGAGCTCTGTTGGAGAATTCTGGGCATTCAATTGCTAATAGCCAATGGATACCTTGCATAAATGCAAAAATTGAAAATAAGCAGTACATAGAACATCATTGAGTTTATTTTGAGTCTGATTTATTTATTTTTTGTCATTGTCATAAAAAGCAGCTGCTTGCAAAGCTGGGCAAATCTTTTTTTAAATCATGAAATCGATATTGTTTTATCTAAAGAGCTCCTCTGGTTATAAATGTACTTTATTTTCTTATTCCCTTTTTTAAATGCAAGAGATTTTGTCTACAGATACATGTATGTCAATTTGTTGTTCTTAGATTTTTGCAAGATCCAACAAGCCAGTTTTTGCACTGGAAGAATTGTCCAGAGAATGTTCTTATCATAAAAAAAGTTAACGATGTGGAAGTGACTGAAAATGCAAAGCAACTTGCAAGATGGCTTGTTGAGGTAAATTGAGCACTTGAGATATGTCAGCGCACATTTGGTTGTCTACGTATAGTTTAAAGTGTATTGAAAAGATGGCCTATCCATGAATATTGACAAGCCGATAACAAAGAATATTTCTTAACAACGTTTAAGAGCAAAACATGCTAGAGAAATATTGTTTATAATAAACAAAAGACAAAAATTACACGATAGGGTTTACTTAGAGATTGAAAGAAACAAAATGTTTTATTTTGATCCTATCAACTTTCAAAGACTTCCTCTGACATTTAGCATCTTTTTAGATTTGTGTCATATCTTGTAAGGATGCTTGCAAAATAAAGTCAACAAAATATAGGGAAAATTAAATGCTGCTGTTAACCATGCTGGCCCACAATATTTTCCATGATATATGACAAAATATTAATATCACCTTCCTGTTAATCATAGATAATTTCCTACCCCTTGTTCTATTATATTGCTGCCTTATTGATTTATTCAAGGAGAAAAGCATGAATGTTTTTGTGGAAAATAATGTGTTGGAAGAAGAAGAAATTGCAGATGATGAAAGTTTTAGAAACATAAAGGAAAAGTTATTGGTGTATAGAAAAGGTTAGGTTTTATTTTTTGCAGTTAAGAGATATAATATGCTGTTCAGTGAGGTGTTTTGGTCTCCACTCTTCAATCATTAATTTGTTTTTAACTACCTAGCTTCCAAAGATATTTCTAGGGCACTGAAAAGTTTTGCTTATAATGCAGTCTCTTGATGCGACCACACCTCATTATTCCTGCACTTAGTATGTTTGTAAAAGTGGAAATATAAAAATTAGACTTGATCCCCATTTAACAATCTTATAAATTCTGAGGCAAGTCATTGTAAGTTAAAAGTACATATGGGTAGCTCATTTTATCTCCATCTAGGTCATAAGTGGGTCAATGTAGATATTCTTGATGTTTCTCGCTATAGCAAGTATGCATGTAATTGAAGATTACTGATTATTTACATGCTAACAATGTTTGTGCTTATCTTAGATGGTGATGGAGAAGAGCAATGTAATGTTGATCTAATAATATGTCTTGGAGGTGATGGAACATTGATTCATACATCATCATTATTTCAGGTAATCTGTCACTCAATACCATGCTGTAGAATTTATCTGTCAGTCTCTTTTCTTGGGGTTTTCAGGGCTTGTTCTTTCCTTGATATTTTCCTTAAGTAGAGATTTATATCAAACTGAAAACTTAAATATCTTTGTTACAATATAGACCTGTGTATTTTTTAAAAGCTGATACAAAGAAGGAAAACTATAAAGTGCACATTTAAAATATGTTTTCATCGCAAAGTTTTTAAGATATCTGGGAAAAATCTAACATAGAAAATTCATGTACCTTCTTAAGTATATCAAAGATCCTGTCTTATGTAGGCAAAAATAAATTATTTTCTCTCTTCAACAAGGTAAGAGGTTTGCCATTGGTAATTGGTCAAGAACAAGGAACCAATCGAACACTTCATCCACATCCAATTTCTGCTTCTCTTAAGTTATTATCAATTGTTTTATACTCTGAGGAATGTTGGATGAAGAGTACTTAAGTATGCCACGTTTCTGATTTCCTGTGCCATTTTGAAAAGATGATTTTTGGAAAAGATTCCAGAGTATGGAAAACCTGAATGATGAACAAAAGGTGACTGGCTTCAAGTTAAAACAAGACTAAAAAAGATTGTAGCAAAATGGCATTTTCAGCAATCAATCAAAGCATATGCGTTGGTGATTCAGTTGTTTGGAGAAAGTAAACATTAAAGTAGCTCGTTGAAAATTTTCTGTTACTTACATTTGCTTTCCTCTTTCTTCTAACTGACACAAGCATTTAACTAACTTTGAATCTCTGTGTTCAAGATCTAGACTTTTCCTCTTGTTACTACATTTAAAAACTAGTAATTATGCAAAATTACCAATGATAGAATGATAGAATCTGTTTGCCCTCTTATTGACAGGTCGCAAAAAATACATTACCTTTTGAGTATATGAACAAAAGTACTAAATGCTTATTGCTTTCTTGAAGTTTTAGATTTGGACCAGGTTTACCAAACACACTGTAATTTTTTTACAGGAGAGCTGCCCACCAGTGGTATCATTTCATCTTGGGACACTTGGGTTCCTAATGACCTTCGACTTTGACAACTTCAAGCAAATAATTACCCAAACACTTAAGGGTAAGGACTTATCTCACCATTTCACCCTAGATTTTCAAACTGAGTGTACCATCAAAGTCACAGATTCAAAAAATATGTTTGAACAATGATGACTTCATAAGCAATAAAGTTTATTAAGACAAAAGCCTAAAGCAAAGAAACTTTCTGTTCAAATGTAAATAATAGTTTTCCAACCGGGTATTTGCATGAAAAAATATTAAGATAACAGTGTAAAGAAAACACAACTTGTATCTGAACATAACATGGAGAAGCAATTGAGAAAGATACAAATTCTAAAAGTAGATATGTTGCAGTGCAAGCATGACACAAGACCTGAACTACGCAATAGGCATAATATAACAGAACAATAGTTAACAGTGTGATTATCGATAAGTATATAGCAGTGAGCATAATAGATAATAATGAGTTCTTAACAATTAAGACAAATTGAGTTCAGAAAAATTCAATAACGTTTTGGTCCTCTCTTGATAAGATTTCTTTATTTTTCTGCTTATACTGAGATAAGCGCTCCAGGGATGACGGAGCACATTTTAGAGTGGGGGACTCTAGAAAAGTGGGGGCTCCTTTTGTATTATGCTACCTTTGATGCCATAACCTTAATATCATACTTAAGCAAAAAATGGGGGTACTACAGCCCACCCAGCACCATCTCTCCTGACTCCTGGCTCCTTTCTTTTTTGTTAAATGCTTCGAGAAAAATACTTTCAATGGTAATGCAGCTTTGTATGCGAGATTGGCCAGTTTAAACCTGAATATCAATGTTATCAATCGTCAAAGAATTTTTTTTTAAATAGAGTGTCTCATTTTATTGTTTGAGTTTGGAAAATTATTTCAAAGGTTAAAATATATATACTGTCCTTGTTCACTGAGTTGCAACTAAGAATCATTCTGTTATATACACCAAAGCGTATTATTCTTTTTAACAATTTGTTAATTACATACAAAAAGTGATGTTTATTCTTTAATTCAAAATCTATTCCTAAACTTTTTATAGCTAGGAATTCCTCCTTTTTAAATGTTTATTCTTTCCAAAAAGAAAATGTTGGATTGACACTGAGATCAAGATTAAAATGCAAAGTCATCCAAGAAAAAGATGGGGAAAATACTGTCCTTGCAGAGCATTTGGTAAGGGTTTGGTCAAACCAACTATAAACTTTCTATTTTGCTAACATTTATAAACAAGATTTTCTTGTGCATTTTGAATGATATCTTGTCTTGTCAATTTATCACCCACTTTACTTTTGACTTAAATATGAGAGCTAATTCATACTTATTCATACTACCCATTCATTATTACAGGAAAGTTACTAATTTCAAGTTTTAAATTTCAGACACTTAATGAAGTTGTGATTGACAGAGGAAGAACTGCCAGTCTTGTTATCTTAGATATCCTTTGCAATGGACAACATTTGACTAAAATTTCTGGGGATGGCAAGTAGAGGTTTTTAATTTCAGTTCAATAACGTTTCAAATTTCAAGGCATTGTGCACTTAAAAAGTATAAAATAACCTTTTGTTTGATTTATCATTTTCAGCAGATTAAGCAAATGTAAATGAGTAAATGAATTTTACCTTTCAGGTTTAATTATTGCCACGGCAACTGGAAGCACTGCATATTCAGCTGCAGCAGGGGCATCAATGGTGCATCCAAGTGTTCCCTGCATAATCATTACCCCTCTTTGTCCTCATTCTCTGTCTTTTCGCCCAATAATAGTGCCAGCTGGAGTAGAGCTCAAGGTTGGCTATCATAACCACTGTTCATAACCCAATTTATGTTATGTATAAGATTTATTTTTCAAATGTACATTGTCACTATTATAAATAAAGGAACAGTGAAAACTCAGTTTACCAAAGGTTAACTTAATCATAATATTTGGCTTTGCCTGTGAGAAAGCATGCATCTGAAAGTAGGAAATTAAACTTCTTCACAAAAAATTTATTCTATCTTATTATTATTCCAGATTCTTTAAATCCCTCATTGTTTTATCATAGGTTAAAAAAACACCTGAAAGTCGTTCTTGTGCTTGGGCGTCATTTGATGGTCGAAACTCAGTTGAAATCACTGATTCTATACTGTAAGTAAGAACAATTTTCATCAATAGTTTTTTAAAACAAATGAATGATTCACAGTAGCTTTTTTCCAAAGGAGTATATTTCCTAAACAAAAGAGGATAATTTATATAAAGGTTTGTACAAAATTTAGGGAACCAGATCTTTAGTTCACTATACTGAGAAGTTTTGCTATCGGGTATGATGTATCAAGATTTCAATGCACATTATTGAACAAAGTATTCAGTATCAGCAACCAAAGATGGGACAGCAGTTCCCTGTCCCTGGCTACAGATATGCTTAAAAACCGTTACTAAAATGTTTTCGTAATGTTTCATTGCAATATATTCACTCAATGAGTATATTGCAACCGACGTTGCTAAAACGAGGAACAAGCGGAACAACCTAGTAACAAGCGGAACAACCCAGTAACAACCCAGGAACAAGCGGAACAACCCAGTAACAACCCAGGAACAAGCAGAACAACCCAGTAACAAGCGGAAATGTGAAGTTATTGTTTTGTAAATAACACATGGGGGCGTTTATAAGCCAACTCTCTAAAGTTCGTGTGGGCTACCACGTGCACTATCAAGAGGCCGTCAAACACTTCCGTTATGTAATTTTTTGGCAGTTCGCGGCCATTTTCCCTCCTTTTCACACAACCGTACATAGTTTGATGGATCAGAAAACCTGTCGTTGTGGTTTTTTACTCGAATCAAACACCGACATAGCAAGGCAAGGGCTGGTACACAAAAAGCCCAAATTGAGGGGTCGAAAATTGAGGTGGGGGATAATATTTAGAATATATTAATGGCAACCGAAGGGGCAAAAGGACCGGGGGGTGTGGGGGTGTCACACCTCCCCGATAGTATCTCAATGAGAAATTTCAGGTAAAATCTCAATAAACTAACAACAAATGTTGCCAAGTTTGTACGAGAAATAATCAGACAAGGCAAAAAATTGGAACTTCTCCTGTGAACTGAATCGAAACTCCATTTCTAGGCATAGATTTTTTACTCATTACTTTTGATTGTACACTTTTAATTGTCGCATTTTTTATGTTGCTAGTGTTGTTTTATCTGCTGCAAATTGTTGCTTATTATGTTTGTAAGAAGAAGCACTCGATTAACGTAAATAGCTGATGTAAGAATGGCTCTTCAACTAAGTGTATTTAGATAAATTAATTTTTTTATGATGATGATGAAAACGCCAAACATTGGTTGCGTGTTTGTCACCTTGCCATCATTAGTTCACGATACTGCGCCATTCAATCGCCTGGGGAGAAAATGACTTTGATGTACCTACGAGAAACTGATGGTTTGCCCAGAAATAATTTTACTGAGGCGGAAAGTTGACTTCTTCTTTAATCCAAATTATAAGTTGTAAGAGAAATTAACAATAAATATTTGAAATTAACCACAATGAAGTAAACAGGCTACTTGCTTTTTTTTATTAAAAAGATATCTAGGCCAAGATGGCCTCTAACGTAATTGCAACATTAATATAAGTTAATATAGTTAATATAGTTACTGCTACAACAACTTTTCAAACGTTAATATCAACTCAGTTTCATGAAAAATACAATGGTTAAATGCGTATGTTTTCTGTGTTTGACATCAAAGGCTAGAGAGGGGGGGCTTAATAGAGAGGGGAGGCTTATTTAAAGTTTTTGCTTGATAAGGGGGGACTTAATAGAGAGGGGGGCTTAATAGAGCCTTTATGGTAGCTCAAAATGCGTTTTAGAACATTTCTTCCAGTCATTTCTTGCAATCGTCTTTTTTGCATACTTTTGCTATTTTCAATAAATTTACCCCCTATGTCTAAGGGCCTCCGTGAAGGCATTAATCAGGCATAGAAAAAATTTCTAAGGGGGGAAGGGGGTCTAGTGCCAGATTGCCGTATAGAGATGTTTAAATGCAAATCAAATAAAGGCTTACTCTGAAGTTGAAAACTGAAGAGGCCCTCTTCCTCGTTTATTAATTTTTTAAAATCTATCTTCATCCCAATAGACGTACTTTTTAAGATTGTTATTAACTCACAAGAAACTCGGAAGAATCTCTACTGAAAATATAGGTTTATAGATATCATTCTATTTTTTTCATTTTTGTGTGACTGTATTTTGAACATAAAAAATGCGACAATTAATAGTGTACAATCAAAAGTCATGAGTAAAAATCTATGCCTAGAAATGGAGTCAGGGGCGAAACTTCACTATTTTCATTAGGGGGGTATGAAGCTTAGATGCCCGACGAAAGGGCGTGGCATGCTTGATGAAAGGGCGTGTCATACATGAACTTCATTTTTAGAGCACATCGCCTCAAGTGCTGAAATCATCGGGAAGCCCGAGAGAGGGTCTTTAGACTCAGGCTGTTTGTTTAAAGTCAAGAAATATGCCTCTAGTTTTTCTGGTGCTGGCTATAAACATTTGTTTCCGAAAAGCAAGCATTTTTAAGGCCTGTTTTTTCTATAAAAGAAAAAAGTCCACTTTCTAAATCACCTAGCTATTAAGAGAGCAATTCAAAAAAGGGGATTGAAGTAGGGTCTCAATTTTATCAAAGTGGGACACCAAAACACAGCTAGGAAATTTCGGAATTTAGAAACAGCTACGCAGACTACAATGTTTCAACAAAAAGGAGCTTCAGTTGCATTTTCTGAGTTTCATTTTCAATTTTCGGTTGCTCCGGAAGCAATTTCAACATTTTTAGACACCCAAGCACAAAGTACGTATCTCTAAATCCACCATAACAAAATCCCTCAAGCAAAGGAAAGTTTTTTATTGGATGTATTTTACAGGTACACCTATCATTAAAGCTCAATTTTTGTGTTTTCGTAATCATGGATAATGTTCAGAAATAAAATAAACTCGAAAGTTTTATGCAATTCATATCTTAACTACAATTTCTTGATAAATTTTATATTATTTGCCGCTTGAACTGATTGAAACTTTCTGTTACTTGTTTTTCTCAACATTTGATTTTTCTCAACAACGTATTCCGAGATGGTATATCCTTCATGCTTTGATTTATGATGCTTCTAAAACTGTCAGTGTTCCATGGGCTCCGAGGCAGAATGGAAAGGGGGGGGCGGGGGCTTGTCAAAGGAAAATTTAGAAATCACAACAAAAGATTTTGAAAAAGCTCTCTTGTTTTGCAAAAAGTAGGGGGAGGGGTATGCACAGTGTTCATTTCCTTCTTGCATCAAACACACTTTACTTTCAATCCATACTTTCGCTGTCGATCAATACTTAGACTTCATCTCGAGGCGAAGATAAACATGCGCGCATCGAGCTCGAGACGAAAGCGCTGATCGGTGGACGAAAGACAGAAATGTATATATGTTGCTGTTCCTAGCCTCGTTTCTGTTTTGTTTTTTTAACTGGGAGGAGATTGAAAAAAAGATGGGGGAAAATACCATGAATTAAAAAACCAAGCTAGGGCAAAAAGTAGCCATAAAAGTGCGACCTAAAGAAAATTTCCAGATTTGCCCGACAGATACACTGGCAGCCACAAATTTGCCCGACAAAATCTGCTTTTTTGAAGGTTGGGGGGGTGCAGCACCCCCCCATACCCCCCCAGTAGTTTCGCCCCTGAATGGAGTTTCGATTCAGTTCACAGGAGAATTTCCAATTTTTTGCCTTGTCTGATTATTTCTCGTACAAACTTGGCAACATTTGTTGTTAGTTTATTGAGATTTTACCTGAAATTTCTCATTGAGATACTATCGGGGAGGTGTGACACCCCCCGGTCCTTTTGCCCCTTCGGTTGCCATTAATATATTCTAAATATTATCCCCCACCTCAATTTTCGACCCCTCAATTTTTGGCTTTTTGTGTACCAGCCCTTGCCTTGCTATGTCGGTGTTTGATTCGAGTAAAAAACCACAACGACAGGTTTTCTGATCCATCAAACTATGTGTGAAAAGGAGGGAAAATGGCAGCGAACTGCCAAAAAATTACATAACGGAAGTGTTTGACGGCCTCTTGATAGTGCACGTGCTAGCCCACACGAACTTTAGAGAGTTGGCTTATAAACGCCCCCATGTGTTATTTACAAAACAATAACTTCACATTTCCGCTTGTTACTGGGTTGTTCTGCTTGTTCCTGGGTTGTTACTGGGTTGTTCCGCTTGTTCCTGGGTTGTTACTGGGTTGTTCCGCTTGTTACTAGGTTGTTCCGCTTGTTCCTCGTTTTAGCAACGTCGATATTGCAACGAGTAAATTTAAGAAGAGAGTGCACTTTTACAACTTCAAATAAAGATATTTTGGCTAATCCTAAAAAAGGCTTGAAGAAACAGTAACTGCTTATAAAGCGCTCAATTTCCGATATTCAAAACAGTCCGCATTTAATTTCTGCAAATTAGGTATATTATTTATCGCCAATCAATTATCATATTGTCTCTATCCTGTTTTTTTACTTAAGCGTACGATTAACAACATCAATCTACCCACTGCCTTGTGTCAGCCATAAAGATCACCTCAGAGACTGGTTTGACGGTTTAGCTGAATGCTTGCAATGGAATACAAAAGATTTTGGTGTCAGAAGACGAAAGAATGATATACCTTAGCTATGCATTTGGAGAATGCATCTAAACACTTTGTCGAGCAAATGCTAATCTGTGCATTTAAGATACGTGTAATTTTCTTTTCATATAATTGATGGTGCACACAATGTACACGGGCAGTTCATGAGCTTCTCATTGTAAGTTTAAAGTAAAATATAAGCACCAATGCTATGGGATAAAAAGTGAAAGTGGCGTCAGAGACATGAAAGAAACTTCTCTGGAATTAATTTCTGGCTTAAATTACCGTAAATCCTCGAATTGCCCCCCTCGAAAAAGTCCCCCCCCCTGGAATAAGCCCCCAACTATAAATTGTCATTAAGCCCCCCCCCCCTTGAAAAGAGCTTTCTGCTACCGTAAATTCTCGAATTGGACCCATCAATTTGATGATTTTTGCCATCTAAGGTTGCCTAATGGAGTTTTATTGAATTGCCACAACAATTTCATACTTTTGGTAGGAATTAATTAAATGCTCATAAAGAAATTCCTACCGAAATAAACAAGGTCTTTCAATAATGTCTTCTTAATGTCTACACCAATTTGATTAAACCAATCCCCCCCCCCCCAAATATGTCCCCATCCAAAAATAAAAAAGCCCCTAGGTGGCTAATTCAAGGATTTACGGTATTCAGTATTTAGGACATAACATTTGATTGAAATATTTTTGTAATTTACAATATCAAAATATATTCATAGATATTTTTCAGGCTTATATAAAGACACGTTTATAATTACTTGGAACTGAGTAATATCCTGTCTGGTATACAGTTGGTTTTCGTGCACCTCACTCTCATTAATCATGCACTAATTAGTTTAAATGAATCAATAAAAAATACCCAAGGTAACAAACCAATTGGATCTAGTATATATCTTGATTTAAGAAGGTCTTTATATACATGTCATTATGAAAAACTTTCTAGCACACTTGACCACCAAGTAATCTGAGAAATAGCATTTACTTTGCAACTGGATAAAGCATCTATCACTAATGGTTAAAATTGAAGCAATCTTGATTTTATGTGTTGTTCCACAAGGATTTATTCTTGGTCTGTTACTTTTTCCTTTACACATAGATGATATTTTACAGGAATCTTCTGAATTCTCACTTGCTCTTTTCGCAGATGATACTAGCATTTAATATAAATTAGGAAATGTAGAGCAACTTTGAAAAGTTATACATAAAGAGAAAAAACATGCCGAAAGGTAGCTTGGTGCAATCAAACTGCCTCTGGAATTATTGTGAGGGAACTGTCTTACAATGTTTACATCAAACCAATATTCATCCTTCAAATAAAGATTATACAAACTTTTTCCTTTGAAAATCACACTGCTTTGCTTCTTGATCTCCAGCTTCTTTTGCAAAAGAGACTTCAAATGAAAAAGTGTATTTCCCCATCTTGATTCTATGGCTTTTTCATAACTTTTGCTAATTTATCAATATGACATGAATTTCAGCCATGAATTTCGGGTATCAAATTAAGAACCATTTGAGCCAAAGTACATTTGAGAACTTCCAAATTTTAGCATATCCTCAAGTTGTGTTACTTATAACTTTCCTATTTTAAATTTTAAAACGTTTTGGTTTTGCCAAATAGGTGCTCCCTCCTCAATTAATTTACATATTGTGAGAGCTCTTAAAGAAATTCCCTGCATAAAAATCCTTCCTATAAAGTAGTCATTATTTCATCAAAACTGTCCTTTTGTTGTTGTTGTGATTTGGATCTTGTGGCTACTTTAATTGCATTTGTATGAAGTGGAATTTTAAAATAACTATTGACTAAATTGAGAAAAATTGACACATAGGAAAACATCTGATTGAAGTAATTCATTTTTTGGAAGTTACTTTGAATTACTTGACAGGTCATGTTAGCATTGGACAGCAGAAAAATTAAATAAAGATCTTCAAGTTGAATACATCAGACGCTTGTAACTGGAATCTCAAAAATCCTATTTTTTTAGTAGCAAATACGTTTAAGGACTTCTTGTATTCAACTCATGGAACTTTCAAGAAAAAGGGCCTATTGAAAAAAATTACAGATTAAGTCTAGAGAATTTGAATTTCAAAATAAATCCACTGTTTAGATTTTCAAATGTAAGCAACATTTATACATAAATTCTCTCAAAGATAGAGTGAAAAGTTTTTTCATGATCCACTATTGATAAAATGATAATGTAATAGAAATTATTTGTCACCCGCCCTGGAGAAGATTCACAAAACAATGCTATTTGGAAGGGAACTGTTTTTTCCTTCCTCTATATGCTGCATAAGATGAGATACTATTACAATAAAATTGACATACTTCTTGCAAATTCCATTTTCAGTGTACAAGCAAACGACAAAAGGTTGTTAAATAACCGAATGCCTTTGTTATTTACGGTGCTGCAAGTTAACCATCCAGATTTTTAGTTAATTCCTTTGAATAAAAGGCTGAACACCGAGCTGACATAGTCCATAATCATAGCACTAAATCCCATAAAAATTCAGCATTACCAGACATTAAATTCCATTAGCTTAAAAGCAAAGACATCAAGACATTTCTATATCAGAGTTAGTTAAAGCTACTTGTATAGAACAGGACAGTTCTAAGTGGTTTTGAGAGAATTTACAGCTCTGCCTACATTGTGCACTTCATGACAGACAGATACATAGTAATTTTCATTAACAGTTGATATATATTTGAAGCTTGAGTAAATGTTCCTCTTGTTAAAACAGTAAAATATAACTTAAATATAGTTTAACTACAACATAGATAAATATAATAGACAGTTACTGCTGATCCAATAAGAAATGTGACTGACAAAACATGGCATAAAAGAAGACAAGCACCAAAACAAAAAAATTCAGTTATATCAGATTTCATCACTTCTTTGTCAATAAAAAGGTGCTAAATGACAATTTTCTGGCTTATATTTCTGGGTCTGTAAGGGAAACAAATACTAGACTGGATCTTTCTGAGATATTTCCAAGTTCATGAATTCATTGGTTTTGTACCAACAGCTGCTTCTTCACCCATTGAAGTTAGAATGGTAACAAGAATTGATTCACCCAAATCAAATTTTGACTGTATTTCCTTGCCACAATCATTTTCTGGTACTCTGACATCTTCTTTCTGGTCCCCATTATCATCCATTAATGACAAATAACCATCATCTTCAATGTTTACCAACTTTGAGATAAGAAAAATGACAATGATAACAACAATAAAATGACAATGAAAAGAACAATAAAAATGACAACTTCACAATGTTGTTTTTAATGCTGTTATTTTTTCTAAGCGCAGTATATGATGATGTTATTTTGATGTTATTTTTATAGCAATTTCATTGAAATTGTTATAAGGCAAGGATCCCTTGGAGATAAATGTCAATGTGCATTCCAATCTTAATTGAACAGAACAGACCAGACCAACACAATCTGATCCGATCCACAGATCATTTCCGAGATAGGGCTTTTTCGGCTTAATGCAACCATGTGACAGACAATATAAATAATCAGTAGTTCAATTAATCAGCAGTTCTATTAAACTTTGTATCATTCATTCAGTAATATATCTAAATGTGAAAATTTGAAGTGTGTTTTCTTTGCTCCACCATCTCAATGATGTAACTAAATGCACCTCTCAAAAGAAAGCCTATTTGCCATGACTCAATGCCTTTAATATCATACATTATACATATATCAGACCTGGCGGTTTGAGGTGAGCAATAGCTCCCCTTGCTGTCCGAGAGGAGCTGTTAATTGCTCACCTGAAATGATCATGAAGAAAAAATAGCTCCCCTCAGATTTACAAATTGGTTTATCTTTTTAAAAACGATTTCTTCTGTCTTCACATAATTTGTTAAAATTTATTGTCCCGTTGGGGCGCTTTTATTGCATTGGCAGGAAGTCGGGAATCGTCAATAAAGTTAACTGATAATTGGCAGTAAACTTAACGTTGGTATTTGAGTCATAACTTCAGTCTTTTTGGAAATGGATAGTGAATCTAAAGGTACATTTGTAGAGCTGAGAACATTTGTACGAAAACAGGCATGTTCTTGGTAAAAAAATCGAAGAAATTGGTAAGAGAAAAATGGTTACTTTTGTGTGGTGCAAGATTTGCGCAAAACACAAAGAGTCAATCCTTTCAAATCCTTTGTGCAAAGGAAGTGCCAAAGCTGTAGTAGAATCGTATATCAAAGGAACAAATGTGGTGAAAAAGTCAAACATTCAGCGCCATTTTGATGGTAAATATAATTTTGTTTTGATATTATTTTCCCATATCTCATTTCCCCATTTCCAAGCTTTGAATATACTTAATACACATGCTGCTTCCTGCAAGCGTAAATCTAACAAATTAGTTTAATTCTCCCAGGTTTACCGAATAACGAACATTTCTAAGGTGTAACTGTTGGCAATGATACAACCTCCCTCTGATGATGAAATCTTATCTTCGATATTTTATACATTGGAGCAAAAGAAAACCCAACATTGGGGAAAGGGGTTACGGCATTCCATCATTATCACACATTACCAAGGATCATTTCAAGGTTTCACATGTGGCGAAGATGCCTTTCAATGGTTTCAGAGCAAAAATTAAAGGCTTACTAGAAACGTTGCAGTCATATGAGTGCTTTTGCAAAATGGCTAGCTACATAGATGTACTAGAGGCAACAAACTCTACCATGCTATGCAAATCTATGACCCACAGTACTGGGAAGACAATGTAGACTATGGTGTGAAGAGCGTCAAAATCATTCTTGATAGATTCGCTATTCGGCTTTTGGAAGTTGGAATCAGCACAGAACATGTTTTTGCTGAATGGAAGAGATTCAAGCTTCTTGCCCGACAACAACTGGTGGAATTTTTTGCAGAGCCAAAAGTTCTTTGGCGGCAAGTTTTGAGTTTTAAGACGTTTCAGTTTCCCAACTTGTGCCTTGTTATCAAGTTGTTGATAACCATTGCAGGATCAAACTCTGCCTCTGAAAGGGCATTTAGTGTTTTGACCCTATAACTTAACGATCGTCAGCTGTGCATGACTCACGAAACCATGGAGAATCTAATGATAGTTAAAGGGAATGACAAAGTGTGGACAGAAAAAGAAAAAGACATCTTGGCACGTTCTGTCGACATTTATCTTGAGAAGAGACGGAAAACATAATTATCAGCAGCAGGAATTGAAGGAGAGCCATCCAGCAAAAAGATATGCCTTGATAAAGGCAGGCAATTTGAAGGTAAAAACTTTGAAGATTCAGATCAATCTGAGACAGACAGAGAGTCCAATGACAGTGACTTTTCTACGTAGAGTCAAATTATTGACATTTTTTGACATAATTTGTATGTTGCATGTAATATTGTGGACAATATCAAAACTTTGCTTGGATCCATAAAACTTACGGTTGCATTGATTTATAGTGTTATGCTTGACATATAGACCATTTTGAGTAAATTATATATGTTCTGGATTTAGCTCGCCTGAGCAAATGAGGCGAGCGATTGACAGCTCACCTGCAAAAGTACAAACGGCCAGGCCTGATATATCATACACCACAACCTTCATATCATACATCAGGGGAAAAGGATGTTATTTATAGGAACCACAGTTGGGAAACTATTATAGAAAGTTTGACTGCTGATGACAGCATTTCCCTTTTTATATATAAGCAATATAAGCCAAATTGCTGGTTTAGAAATTGATATAGAAAGCAATAACCATGTAGAAGACAGATACTTATGATTAATGATAAAGGCTATGAAATGAAAAACTAAGAAAACAACTGTGGACAAAAGCCAACAATGATATGCATCCATGACTGAATCATATTTTTGAATCATAGGTTTTGTGCCATATTAAATTATTAACATTTATAAGTAAAAATAAAAATACTATCCAATGAATTTTATCGTACTTTTCTATTTTGTCAGAAGGTTTGATCATTCAAAGGTTTCTGGTTTTAAAGTGCTTCTAAGGTCAAAAAATAACTTTAATTTAAAGATATATTATACCAATCTGGAATCAATTCTTTTTTGGAATTGCTATATTGCATCTCATGATATTGCTATTGCTGTTCAAAGTTTGGCCTAAGCTGTTAAGGAAGCAAAGAATCTGTGACGTAATTGGGGGCCTAGAGTCACATGTTTGAACCAAACAAACAGCTGAAGAGGTGGAGTTGACAACAATTTCTACAATAACGAATTTCTACAATTTCTTGTTTGGTAAGAATATCAAGTAAATAACGAAGCTAGATTAAATATATGTGCATAGAGAAAGTTAATTCATAAAAGCCAGTTAACTCTTTGACCTCTTTGAGCTCTAAAGCATGATCATAATCGTTTCTGTGTGGCTAGGCCAAATCAAATCACCGCAGCAGACAGTTTGTTGAGACGACAGCTTTCTAACTCTGGTTCAAAACATGTTGAAATAAACACTATTATTTCCTGGTTGTGTTAGGTCTAAACATTCCTTGCCGTGAAATTTGCTTTCGCCTAATATACAACACTCCCTTTTGCTACATTCCAACTCTAGCCAGATGGGCCCTTATCGTGCTAGTTCATTAGGCCTATTGTATTTTCATGTTCCCTGAGCAACATCATCAACACCTCCTGATGTCACTGGAGGCATACTTTGTTATTGGCTCTTTTCTGTGTTGTGACACTTTCCGAGACTTTTAACAGCATATTCACATTCTATCTTTGGAAATAATTTAATTCATCGAAATCAGCGAAAAATTTCACATTGGTTTCAAACAAAAAAACATGTTGTTATTTTTTTATCTTAGAAGTACTTTAACATGATCTTCTCAGTATCTCAAATCTATCAACAAGAAAATTTTCAACAATTTGAACAATTTGCCCTTACAGACAGTTATTTGTATTCCTTTCCGAAACTTTAAACGTGACTTGGACATGCTTTCTCGTAAGAAACAGCACCAGAAAGAAGAACAACACTAAACATTTAGCAAAGTCTCACTCTCTGAAAATGCACCTTTTTGCAAACTACTGGCATGGGCTATCCATTAACCATCTAGAAAAGATCTCACTCAAAAGAGCATTTAGGGAAAAGATAGTACCTTTATAAATATGGGTGTTTCTGAGTGAAAGGTAAAGTTGCTAGTGAAAACAAAGCATCATTGCTTTGTTATACATGTTACTTTAAATGTTTATAAATTGGTGGAAAGCAGGCATTTAGAAAACCAAGACTAGTCACTTGTGAGCAGTTGATACCCAAATACCAACTGTCCAACCTGGAGTACTTTTCCTCAAACAAATATTTTTAGATGGGTGATCACCTCATGAGGTCATATACACAGGTAGTTTGTCACACTTGTAAAAGATTCCTCAAACATGGACTGTGATAATGCTATGTGGTTTATGAGTGATACAGAAAAGAGCTAGACTGGCTCCAAGGCTTCAGGCCTGCTAGACAGAAAAGGCTCCAAGGCTTCAGGCCTGCTAGAAGAGGAAAGTGAAAGTTTGAGGTAGACTTTGTGTACCTGGAAGAAAGTGAGTTGGAAAAACAGACAAGGCAGTGCAGACACATCTGAAAGAGAAAAGGTTAAGTCTTTATGTGATAGAAAACCACAAATATGTGTTATATATATATATATATATATATATATATACAATCTTGATAGTGCATATTAGAATATAATTTATAAAAAAAAAAATTTTACCTGGTAGTCTTTACGTTTCACATGAGGCACATTCATGTTATGAGTTGATGGGCAGATATCTTCATACTTTTTCCCAGTGAAAATATCAATTCCAACAAGATGCACCTAGAAAAAAACATAGTAAAACAAAGTAAGCATGGTTCTATGAAATCCTTACCTTTGAAGTGTGCTAAGCATTATTCATTCTAAATTTATTATCCATATAAATTTGTTGTTTCCTTAGAAATGGGAAATCTTTTCATTCTGTTGTTTTCTTTCTGATGGAAATCATTAATTTGGAAATCAGATCAGAGTAGGTCCCGTATTGTTTCATTCTTCTCGTCTTCTAAACACAATAAAGCAGCCAGAAACCAGACCACAGAATAGGAATTAGGCAGAAGGGGAACTCCTGCCTATCAGGTGAAGTCTGAAAAAACCTGAGCATGCGTTAACTTATACGAGGCTTAGCATGTATCTGTCGGGGAAATTAAAAAAGAATGAAAGTAGACAACTTTATTTGAGATGAAATGCCCCATGATAGTGAACAAATTCAATCATATATCATAATTCGTTTATATCTGATTAATGAATGATAATTTGTCATGGCTAAGTTCGTCTAATGAAATCAAGGTTAAAGGGGAATTAAGGAATTCTATTGTTGACTCAGACTTCAAAAACAACAAAGGAACCGAGGAGAGTTACCCTTCTGCCTATTTCCTATTCTGTGGCCAGATGCTTTAAGAAGAAGCACAAATGATTTCAAATTTGTGTTTTTGTTATTCAATAGTTTCATTTGATCTTAAGGATACATACAGTTAGTTGCATACAGTTATATACAGTTAATTGTCTAAGGACTGAAATATATAGAGAACAGCTTGTTTATCTGACTGTACTGCAAGTTTATTTATTTGCTTTGTCGAGTTATTCATTCTTTGTTTCTTTTTAAAGCCATTAATGCTTATACAGTAGTGAAAACTGACAACAAACTAGGCGAGAACTATCACAACTTCTCCCCCTTACACAGCTCTTAAAATTGCATGGAAGCCTTCTGCCAGGGACTATCTGGTCAGTGTCAGACTTTATGGCATTTCCACAAGTGGCACCTGGGGTATTATTTGGATGCCACTTATTCAAGTTACTCATAGAGGGTTTATGAAAGCACAACATTGTAATTACTACTTTCCATATGATATAAAAGTGTGCAGTTTCATGTTGCTACCTTTGCTTGTGGCCATTTTGATGAAAGCGAGTGAAATGAACCATAGTGAAAAAAGACAATGGATCTGGGCAAAAAGGGAGAAAGCAGAATTTCTGAGTGTTCAGGATGACTACCTCATTTCCAGTCAGTGGCAGCTTCAGTTAGGGAGTTAAGAGACTTATTATTTCCAAAGGTCATCTGCATGTGCTATAGGAACATTAAACAACAAAGACTGTAATATATATGTACATACTTTGGCATGACCATGTTTTCCTGTCTTTGATGTTGACATCTCAACAATTTTGCAAGGACGGTTCTTGATAACAACATGTCCATTCTTTCTCAAAGCAGAGCACTGCTGTGGGAAGGTTGATGAGGCCCCAGACTCAGCTGACTCAAAATCTCCTTCTTCAAGAACATCAGCCATGACTGCTGCTGAAAAGATCAGATAGTTATCAGATGAGAATACACCATGAGACCATCTTCATATGAGACTAATGCACGATCAACTGTCTCATTAATCACAGGTGGACTTAGACAAGAAAATAACAATCTGCATCTAATTCTGAACATTTTACAGTGCTGTAAACATTTAATTGATAAATTGGCTTGCAGGGACAGTTTTCATGGATCTTTCAAAAAAAATTAGTAAGTGTCAGCCATGATCTTCCGTTAACAAAATATAATGATACTTTGATATCTTACTTTCAACATTACTTTATTACATTGCTCACTTTAATATATACTCGATGATACTTTATTGCATGCTCTTTTACTCTATTCCTTCGGATGCCAGGTAGAAAGCAAATTGACATTAATTGGATTATGACATTAATTATTGTAGCCAACATGAAAGAAATGGTTATCAATAAGAAATTAAATAAAAAAAATATGCAAACAGATTCCATCTAATGCCTAAAAACAACTTTCTGATATTATCTTTTTAATGTAAATTTTATAATGATTAACACTATAAAAAGCCACCAAGGATGGGAGTGAATCTAATCACATATTTAGATATTGATTATGACGAAGCCTGCAGGAAAACATCCATAAAGTTATTTTCACTGATTATCTTCCCAGATTTTGAAAAGAAACTTTATAGTTAGGATCTATTCAATATATATTGATTTTAAACAGAAATTCACATTGTTTTCCATTCAGGCTACAATAACAAAAAATGTTAAATAATGGAAGAAAGACTACTCTTACTATCGACTTATAATAAACATTCACAGTTAAGGGTGATAAACAAATTCAACTTTGGGATAAGAACTTACCCCAACGTTACAACAACATACCAGCTTTGCCTCTTCAACTATGTTGCATCTGACTTTTTGACAACAAATCTTATGATATTCACCGGTTAAAATCGATAATTTTTAAAAGATCGAAATAGAATGTTATAGATAACAAACAATTCAACTCTAAATATTCCTAGCTTTATTCATCATCATTCTTCAGGTCACATCATGGTTCCTTCATGTACTTCAATATAGTTTATTTTATGGGCGATGAACTGGCGGATGGCCTGGCCTAGCATTCGTCGAGCGATGATCAAATCAATGAACGTCAGGCTCTAGAAACATAAGAATCTTGTCTCCGTACATAAAAACTAAATGTTATAGATAGCAGTTGATTCGCTTACCTTTTCGACTGAATTTGAAATATCAGTGGATATTCTTTGCCTTTAAAGGCTGACAGTAGAAAACGTGGATACGAAAGGAAAAGAATGATCGGTCAGCATGTGCCGAGGAATGGGCACTAGGCGTGGACAATAGCATTATGGGAATGAACTCAGGGCGTTACGAAATGGCACAAGAGGGAGAGCTTGCCGGAGCCTCCTAGCCTGCGCGCAGACCAGTGGCGGATTTAGGGGGGGGGGCAGTTGGGGCAAGTTGAAGCAAGTCTGGCGCCCCTTTTTTGGAAATCGTGCGCCCCTTTTGAAGAATAAGAATCAGGTGATAAAGTTTCTGAGACCGAAAGCTTAATTTGCTTCAAGGATTACTTCAAAGTTATGTTGTTTATTCTGAAAATGGGTCTGAAATTGTTGTATACAGCGTAATCTCGTCACCAATTTTTGAAAAATTTTCAGCGCCCCCATTACCAACTGCCCCTCCTTCAAATTTGCTCTAGATCCGCCCCTGGCGCAGACTCGCTTGGTTTCCCAGATATGAATCTAGTTGATTGGAAATTTAGTTGATTGGAAATTTAGTTGATTTGAAACTTCAGTGTTTTAGGAGAGAAGCACTAACTTTTCCATTCAATTTAATTCATAAACAAAGCATAACGGCATTCCGCCCCGGCATACTGGGCTTTATCAGACTGTGATGCCGGGGCGATTATGATGACTCTGATGAAGCCCTTTAATTTGCAATTTTGACATGATGTCTAAGATATCATGCCAAAGTACAGGTAAATCAAAGCACTTTGAACGATATTTTACTCCAAAATGTTGATATTTTCATTGTCTTAAGCAGTCTCTTCGTCAATGTCTTGTCTTCGTCTTTATTGTAGTCTTTTAATTTGCCCCTTAATGTGTTATTATTCGTTAACTAAAATCATTATAAAATAGGGATATTTTGGTTGTTTCTCGATTAAGCCGCCATGTCTTGTAAAATGCATACTAGCCCTAAAGAAGCGATCATAGAGCAATATATTGGAAAATATGAATTATTGTTACATTTATGATTACAGATATGATTTTGAATAAAATTGTACAAAAACCCTTGTCCTATCCAAAGTCAGTCAAAGGGAGGTCTTGTCTCGGAGTCAATTGTTCTCAATCTTTGTTGACTACGGGCGTTTTTATGAAAATTGTAATACTTTCGAGTATTATAAGATCTCATCAATTTGCGTATTAATAGATCGAAAGTGTTTTTTCTTACGGCATTTTCATATATACAAAATTAAGCATCTGAGTTTACATAAATCAAGAGCAAGGCCCAATAACAGCAAGTGAACGATGAAAGTGCTTTGAGTTATTCACTGTTTTCTTAAGACTTTCATGTTCAACTTGCATGTTGTGTTGCAATCCTCCTTCGCGGCAAAAGGGGCCTCTATATGATGTGACGTAGTAACCTGCATCTTGTTTTAACTTATCGTAATAGAACCTCCTCCTTCGCAGTCTCTTCGCCAGTCGTTGCAGCTTCTTTACCAATTGTTGCTATCTGCGATTTTAAAATAGACAAATTTCTGTAAAAAATTGAAAACCATAAAATTCAGTACGCAGCATATTTATTTGTAAAATTTTAGAATATGAGTTCTTTTAAATGCTCCTTTCAGAAATTTTAGTTTTTGGTAGCCGATCAGCTGATCTATCTTGTAGATAACTTTTTAGGCCATGCTTCATAGTGATGAAAATCTAAAGCATGACGCTGCCCCATTGCTCATCACTAACTCGTCTTTAGTTTACATTCCATTTTAAATATTCTCTGAGTGGAATGGGTCGTGATTGCTGGGCTCCTTCAGTTTCTGCAAAGGAGAGATGGCAATTCAATCATTTTCCTCTCATTTATTGCCACTCATTGGAAATTTTAAATTACAAAATAAACGCATCTACTTGTCTTTAATCTCCTTCCAATTTTATCGAGTTTTGAACTGTACTAGCAACTTTGAAGAAATTTTAAGACTGTTGAAGGCCAGATGCAATGCATAATCATGGATCTTACTTCATCCTCTCCAGTTATAAATTGAGAATGACAATCATTGTGTAGATGTCTTTCTAGAAAAAAATACTGAATTGTCACTACTAAAAACAGTCTATGGACCGCATGGTACGAATGGATGAATTAGTGGGCTACTTGGACCAGTGCCCTACTTTTGGCAAGGCAGAGACACGTCATTCCGAAATGCATTTATATAATACCTACAAAAAAACAATATTCTATTTGAAACAAACACTTTATCGAGAAAAATTCGTGTGCCAAACAAGGGACCAATTAAATTATCGAGGGCGATGGCCCCTGCGATGGCTACCTTAGTCACAACGATCGAGACACCACTGTCGTCACTAAACAGAGCTACCCATCCAAATCCTGGCCATGGAACAAATAAGGAGAAATGCAATAAAGGTAATATAATAGGCGCATAGATTTAATTCACACAAAGAATAGCTATGCAGCTATACACGTTTGTAACTTAGTTAATGCAAACATATAAATAAACAAACATTTATGTAAGGAAAACGGAAAATAAATAAAATAAATAACGTCTCTCTTAGCGTAAGTGATTTGAAAATTTGTTAAATGTATTTAGCATTCACACGAAAAAGCTGGCGAAATTCTTATTAAGATTTCTAAAACTTTATGTATACGGTTTGCCTGTTTAGTATATGATAAGGCTATACAATATATTATAGATTAGTGGTTTTACATCTTCTAAATCAATAACGAAGATTCGAACAATTCAGTCCATCTCATTCTTAGTCTGAAAGGTCCGAAGACAATACACGACACTATATTACAAAACTATCTTACAATACAGAAAGATTCCACGCGAGTTTCATACTTCAAGATATGCATACCCTTCATAACATTACCACTTACTTGGCTCCTGATAACGGGGCTTTACGTTATAAAGATAGGAAAACGTACGTTGAATTAAGCGAGCTGATGTTTCGCGAATGGATATAAGAGGCAGACAATACTAGCCGTATCAAAAATTATCAATTTTAAAGCTAACATTCTAATGGTTTGGTAGTAAGTTTTCTGGATGGAACTAGCAAAAATGAGGATGTTGTTATTCGATTCAGTGCTTCATCACAGTTTACGATATAAGGAGAGGAGTTCGCAAAACTCTTAATTATTAATAGCAATAAAGGCGATGAAGGTATGAGCTCACAGAAAATTCGTGGCCTAAATTTTGCGATAACGTGACTTTCTGTCTCAGTGATACCGATTAATTCTTCGATTCTGCCATGGAACCTGATTAAGACTAACAATTGATTGACAATGCTACGTTTACAACATTTTACAAATATCAAAGCAAGACTAACATGTCGAAATAAATACAGATAAAATGTGGTCGTAAATACTTACCGTAAAAAGTAAACAAATCTGATTTGCAAAAACAATAAGAGAACAGTAAATTCATAAAACAATTATGTGCGAATTTCATAATGACGTCACTCCGTCGCAACTAGCAACAGCCTTGGACTGAGTTTCAGTAGCGCCTTCCCCCCGGTAATCATCGCAGACCTCCCCGAAATCCTCCTGATAAGATGAGTCCCACTCCAAGGTATTTTCTGCTCCACATTCGCTTCCATTCTCTTCCTCTGATTCGCTCCAGTAAAGACTTCCCTCAGAACTTTCTTCATAACAATTACGCGAGTCTTCCGAGAAATCTCCTTCGGAGAGACTACATTCGTTGCGCAGCCGCAACAATGGATTCAATGTGATGTTCATTGTGGCGGGCAGGCCCTCATTGTCCCAAAGCAACTCTGCTGTTCGAAAGTCACTCTCGACAATGTCTTCATCGCGATTTTTTCTGAAAATCCAAACAATTGTAGCGAAATGAATGATTATTAAACCCACGTGATCCTCAGGTTTAGCAAAAAAGGATAGATAGTAAATAGTATGATAGTAAAACAAACTTATTTAAGGTTGGCGTGGTATATAACACTAGGTTAACTTATTCCCATCATTATTTATACGAAAATTATTGCCAGTAACAATTTACAAAAAAAATTAAACAAGGAAGGACATTGAAAAGAAAACAGAAAGAAGACAACGCACTGCAGACATTTCTTGAGGACTGAAAACAGGCGCAGAAGAAAACAAAACAAAAAAGTGGAACATACCTATGAACTTTGACAATGACAAATCCAGCTACGGCCACAACAACCGTCAAACTAAGGATGACAGTGATGACGACGATGCCTCCGCCATTGCTGGAGCTTTTGATCTTGTCCATCACCAGACTGCCAGCAGACTCGTCAGCCTTCGAATGCAAGTAGAATACAAAGGGGCTGTCAGTTGCACTTTGGCTGTTCTCCTGCTTGATTTCTATGCCGACAACCAATTCATTGGAAGAAAAGCGGCCATTCTCTGCTGAGACTTCCATCTAAATAAAATGGATGCTGTTTATAATCACGCACCGGATGACTATCAAGCTAATATTGCATTTGAAGCCCTGTATGCCGGGCGAAATATTTGTATTTATCAAATTTAATTTATCTTTCTATTCTAACAATTCTATTTCATCGAATTGGATTCTCGTCGTCGTGTTGCTGTGTTCCTGACTATTCTTCGTATTTTTACTCATTGCAAGATCGCCGAATCCGGCGGACAGCACATCTAACACATCTTCCTTCTGGCCCTTAGCAATTGCTGTTTCGTTTCATTATCGGATCAAAGGTTTAAAACAATCTTAGGGCAGCTCGAAGAAAATTTTTACAACTCAGCCCTTGCATATATACATCAGTGTATCAACAAAAGCGATATATACGATATATAAAACGATAAATAGAGCAATCTATTGAGGGTTGTTGATTCTCCTAGGTTAGTCCTATAATTGATCAACTGTGATCCTTTCTCCAAACCTTAATTCAAGCGAAGTGAGTTCTATAACAAACGGAGCTCTGAAACGAACAGAGGCCCACAACCAACAGAGTTCTACAACGCGCATAGTTCTACAACGGACAGACTCCTACAATGGACCGAGTTCTACAACGAACAATGGTTTACTCTGTGCTTGAATAAAATTTCTTTACCTTTACTTCCATTGACTTTTGTGTCGATACCAAAGATGGGACAAAGAACACATTCCTCAGAACTTCAACATAATCTGTGTAGCGGGCAACACCTGAAATTCTGAGGACGTTGACAGAGAAGGATGCCGTAAGGCCAAATCTCTTTAGAACTGGTTGTGGGACGGAAAGATTTCCAGTGCCAATGATATCCGAGTTGATTACCACGAGGCCTTCGTCTAGAAATCTTAGACAGCCATCCATATTGATATCAATATCTGGACAAACACGCAATCCTAAAAAAAGCAACACAATTAAGTTGATCAGTAAGCTAGTTATAACATACACTTTTTCTTTCTATAAGAACAATTTTATAAGTGATAAACTTAGACACGAGCTTCAGATACGAGCCTCAAAAATGGTCAAAACTTAAAAACAAATTAAGAACAAGCCGAGGCTGAGCTACTATAAAATGCAACTTTAAACAACGTTTCATCTAAAAAACGAAGATGTTTAGCCATATGTGAGTGCCTTTTCGGTGAATATTCAAACTTGTCGGCAAATGAAGGTGGTCTCACTCATTTTGTTGGCAAATGAGGCCTGAACACCTCCCTGGAGTGAAAAAGCTAGCAATTGCACTGCTTACACCCGAGTGATTTAAGAACAAATTAAGAACAATCCCGCCTCAGATTTTCGAAAAAATTAAAAACAGTCAGCCAGGGCTTAAATTTACTGGTTCTTGTAAAAAGGGAATGTTTACCTTTATCCGCTCCTTTCTCTGCCTAAAATTCTTAAATTGGAAGTCTATACTTAAAGAAAAAACATTGGATCTCTGATACAACATAACATTTTTAATAATAGAAAGTATTCATATTTAAGCAGCTGAACATAATTTCGTCTACAGTTAGAAAATACGACGCTTCAAGCCCAAACTCGTATCACTACCTGATTCAATCGATCCATATGTTTTGACACTGTTGTCACATTTGCCTGCTAATTTGATGGAAGGCCCAACATGCTTTGGAACTTCGACGTCCACGGTGACACGTGGCAGCATGACGTCATCAACAGTTGCTTCAATGTGAATGTGACGCGTTGCGGGATTGGGGTAGGGCACCTTGTTAACATAAACAACACTCTTAAGAATCTTGCGTAGAGACGTGAGAGTACCCCTTCCCGAGATGCTCAGCGACATTTTGTCTGACACTCGCTCAAGTTGAAACCCACTTGGCAACTGCAATCGCAGGTCGATATTCTCTTTGCACTTCAAAATGCAGTTGAAATTCTGCAAAGGATTGTAGAAGAAAACTTGGTGAAACAGGCGATAGAAATAGAAAGTGCAATAGAAAATTGATCGAAGAGACTTTCTAAACCAAAACAAATGATTGAATGGTTGACTAATGGCGTTACTGATTCTCCTGGCATTTCAATTTCGCGCTATTTTCTACTTTTCCCAACGTCAGCGTTGGTTTTCGTTAGTTGTGAGGTTTTCAGTAGTCAGACGGCATTGTATTGGGTCAGGCTGAACATTGTTGGTTGCAACTGAAAAAATGGAGGACAGACCGCCAAGCAGAACACTCCTTCGGTTTTTGGCAGACACTTCCCTTGTGTTTTCCTTTTTCATTACAAAGGTCGTATATAACTATTTTCTTTGCTGAATAATTCAAAGACATTGATCAATTTAAATAAACAAGGCTATTTTTTCAAGCCACGATCCTATCAATTTAAATTCAAACTGCTGCCTGTTATGGCGAAAAGCTTGCCTGGGCCAAAGGCATGATGGGGTGGGTGGGTCGGCTCTTATCAACGCTAGATTTAGCCTTTTCTGTGTTGCCACTGGGTATCCATAAGTTTTTGGGTTCACAATAGCTCGTACCTGAATTTAACACCGCAACCTTTAAGACTGTTAAGCACTCTAACTACATGGGAATTTCGCCTTGAATGCCCTTCCCAAGCATTTTCACAAGGCTTGAAATCATTAAGGACTATTTTTAATCATTAACAGAGATTTACGATGGAGTTAATACCTTGACAAGCTTCTTGGTAAAAACCATGTGACTAATTTTTCCTCTAAAAAAGTCGGTGTACTTCTCTTTCGTCCCCACCCATCGTCCTCCAATAACGTACTTGGGTTGGATATGCGCTTGCTGGACTTGCAGGGTTTCAGCCTCTCCAACTGGCTCGACAGGCCTACCATCAACTTGAAGCTGTGAATAGTTTTGAGAAGGGATAAAAATGAAATAAGGATAATCAAATAAATGTAGTTTGGCTATGCAATCCTTTCAATTTAATGGATAGAAAAAACAAAGTCGAATTAGCCCGCCTAAAACATCCCTAATAAATAAGCCCCTAGCGGACAAATTTCGAGATTAATAAAAGTGCTAAACGTGGACAACAGTTAAAATTTATGAGTTGGTAGGGTATAGGGGTTGCAAAGCAGAGGAACAAGACAAGTGCTAAAAGCTCTTTACCTGAAGATTGCAATGATCAACAACAACAGCAACATGCCTCCATTTCAAATTGCTGACATCGACGACCCACTCTTCGTGAAGGCGGCATTTTCCATTGCTTTTGCTCAACACAAAACCAACACGAGAGCGATCGTCATTATGCTTGTTAACGACGTACAGTCCAATGTAGTTATAGCCAAGCTGCATTCCGTCAGATAAAGACAAAACAAACTGGGGTTTTGCTGAAGTTTTTACCAGAATCCAAGCTGCTATTGTGAAACTATCATGCCAGTTTTCCCCCAGCAAGCCTTTTGGCAAACGGGTTGCCGAAGTGCCATCAAACACATGATTGGTTTGACCTGAAAAGCGCAGTGGAGAATATACTCAATATTCAAATTCAGTGTGAGTTGCCACCCAGGAGAAGGACTTGGATACAAACAAACTGCATTCTACGAGGCTGCTAATGGCCAAAATGGCCATGCTGATGTGGCTTTGGGATGGGAAAGTCAAGAGGAGTTTAGTTTTCTAATAATACGAGGCTGCCAAATATCATACATACAAATAGATATAAAATATTTGTAAAGAGTTTTGCGCTGTCTGTGAGCCTAGGACACTCTGACGGCGCAAATCTACTTTCTTGCGCAAACAGCAGAAGCGGTATTTTGTCTCACAAATACATACCTTGACTTAAAACAGTAGACTAGTTTTGTTTTTTATATAAGAATATAGTCTATAGGAATATTAAGGCTCAAAATTGCTGAAAGTTACGAATATATTAAGAATAATGCAAGGCTAAAGCTTAATCAACAATTAAAGTTTTTGTTTATCTGAGTTGAGAAAGCAAATCAAATGCGAGTTTCACGCTATATGTTTTGAAATAGACATATCAGCCCTTGCAGGAGCTATTAACACTATAATGAGACTCAATTGCACCTTGTGTCGTTTAAGAATAATTTAAGAATAATCTTAGGCTCGAAATTAAAAAAATTGAGAATATTGAGGTTCGGCAAAAAATTAGGTATTCTTAATTAGGCAAGACCATTTGGCGTAATAAGAATTAACAAAGACAAGACATAAAGGCGAACTGAATGAAAACCTTGAATAGTTTCTTCAGTGGCAGTGTCTTCCATCCAACTCGGACCTGTGTTAGGCAGCAGCTCGATGACTTCATTGAAGCCGCATTGTGAGTAAATACTCGTGACTGGGTCGTGTGACCTTTCACAGCCTTTCTGCACAGATGACGTGTCGAGAACAGCACTCACAGAGATCTTATGTTCTTTTAGATCGCCACATTCAGTTATGTGGACGTTAGAAACAAGGGGAAGTTCGTTTGTACATGAAGGGTACTGCAGTGTTGCAATTTCTTTCATCGCCACGCCTTCAATAAGATTAATAAAGTAAATTGAATTCAAAGGCGCACTAAGAAGAAGTATGAAGAGATATGCACCCAAAGGGAACGCAAATCTCATTTACTAGAGAATAATGCAGATACCTATTTATATAAAATGATATGTAATGCAAGCCCATATTGATATTAAATGCAACCTTATCCTTCATTGTTATTTGTTTCCTGAACAACCGATTGCTGGCAATGATAATGAAAGATTTTACAATTTCAAGCAAGATGCAACACGATTAAGTGCTTTTCCATTACAGTAACACTCTAACGTTGTTACTGCTGAGTCCTGGAGGGTGAATGGAATCGGTTAAGAATAAGCTTAAGAAGAAGAAACAGGGGTGACTGAAGATAACTTCAACGTGCCAAAGGTGTCATCAATATAACGCACTCTTGTAATTTCGCTTGAGTAGGACTATGCGATCACGGAAATCAAATAAGTTGTGTCCATACCAATTTTGCAGTCTCCCTTGTGACCTGACAAGCTCTGTGTTACAGTTCTTGTTTGATTCTTTACTTTCACTCTCACAACAGCATCGTCATCAGAGATTTTACTTGCGCAGTCTGTGGCCCGTACGTGAAAGAGAAAATTGCTTGGGAAACTTGATGCCAGTTCCTCTTGCAACGACAAAACACCATTGCTGCCAATGCTAAACGGTACATCACGTTCTACAATTACATAATTACAAACTTTTCCATTTTTGCTGCTGATATCTTGGTCAACAGCCTCCAGCTAAAATGAAAGATGATGCAATGAGACTAGTAATTCATTGACATGGTGAGAAAATCAAAGACAATTCAATCAAATTAAAGGCACAATGTCCCAACGCATTTTGATGGTCATTCAAATTTCCCATTGGTTGAACCAATTCAATAGGCCCGTTTTTACGCATTCGATCGACAAAAAATCGAGGGGAATTGTCAAAGTTTTCTCAATCATAAATGCCCGCAGAGCATACACTGAACGGTTAACTAACCGGACATAGTACCTTTAAGACACAATACTGATGGGCTGTAGAAATAATGCATTCGGGGCCCACTTGAAAATGCAAGTTTCTGACATATATAAAACCGACTAGCAATAAATGATAATGATAGATAAATGGAAAACTAAAGATAATATTGGATACTTAATATTGTGAGTATAGAGATGCAGTTCATTTTTAAGAAATACTTGTGCAAAAAATGCCTACGTTTGGTATTTATGTTTCAAAAATTGTTCATTACTACAGCAATCTATAGTGCTGGGGATACTTGACTCAATAGGTATGCCAACATCAAAACATGGCTCACAATGTCAAATTATAACTAAAATAACTGAATTTAAGAATAAATGTAAAAACTTGTCGAAAATTAGTAAAATTTACCTGGATTAGATTTTTATAAATTGTCCCCTTTTCAACTTCAATGTCATAAAATGGGTGCTTAAATATGGGTGCAAATTCATTTACATCAACAACTTCACAGTACACTCTTGATCTTTCAGATTTCCTTGCTCGTGTTCCATTATCTACTGCATAAATACTAAAGCGATATTCTGAGACACTTTCTGCATCCAAGTCTTCAGTGGCAACTAACTTAGCATATCCGTTGTCTTCTAGTACAACTTTAAATGGGATACCCTTTTCACGGATTCTTAAATCTCTTATCTTCCCTGAAAATGATAAGGATGTATATGTATTTGCAAATAAGACTGACAGTGAATAAGAAACAGACTGACATATCCATTAAGAGTCAAACAGAATGTGTTTCGCAGCTCAAAGGTTACTCAAATGTTAAAGAACTTGGGTGGCCATTATTTTCTTTTTGGCCCTTGTTAGTGCAAGAACATAAGCCTTTGATTATACAGACATAGAAATCAGTCTTTTTCTCTGACGTAATGTCACAAAATAGGGCAAGGTAGCATTTTTGCCAACAAAATTTCAGACAAATAATCAAAATATCAGATATAAATTGTCATGTCAGAACAAAAATTTGAATGGCTCTTATTAAAGTATGAAGAAAACATTTGCCTTTTTTTCATGCATCCTTCTTACATTAATAACTGGTGAAAACTCAAATGTATCAAAATGTACTTCATTTCATAACAACCCTAAATATCAGAATTTTTAAGTATCAGACCACAAAATGGAAGGTCCTCCTATTACATCTCCAAATAGAATATCAAGTTTGGGAAGTCTGATAGACAAATGTAGACATTAATAACTAGAAGCATCCAGAAATGGAGAAAAGATACTGGCTGAAAGGCTGCTCTTTAAACAGCTGTAAGGTAGGGAAACTGAGAGAGGTGGAAAGGTTGAAATCATTGGGGTAACATGAGTAAAAACCTTAGCCTTGCGGTTGGGTTGAAAAGAGGGCAAGACAAAAGAACTGTGTCTAGATATGGCATACATGAATTCCTTCATAAATAGCTTCAGTTTTGGCAAACTTAATGATTACCATCTTTTTTGTTCCCAATTTTCTTACCATCTCCTTTTGATTATTCCTAATTTTCAGAATAAATACTTGAGCTGCAGATTTGCAATCAAATTTGCAAAACAGGGACAGCAGGGTTAAGAGCTACGAACCATCATTTTTTCAACACCTGTTAATGTCTATAAAGACTTTACACTCCCCCATCCCACTTCAAAATATTTTCTGCCATCCCTGTAAAATCAGATGACTAGAGTAGTGCATTTGGTGATTCCTGCACAAAAAAGAACTCATCATATTGGCAAACCTATGGCTTAAAGCAAAGGAAACCAAACATTTAAGTTTTTGCCAAAACTTATTCAGATTTATTTATAAAGAGAAGAATACAGAACTTGGAGATATTTTTTAGAAATAAGGAGCTGAGCATTGTAATTATCAAATATTTAGCAAAAGCTTTTGCTGAAGTCCACTGCATGCCCTGGTCCCTGAACTCAGACAAAAACTGAGAACTATTGTCATCACATTTTGGAATGTGGCACTGAATTGAGACTGGTAAATGCAGTGTCTCTGAAAGTTTATTTTCTCCATCTGTTGTCAAGGTAAATGGAGACTAGTATAATATTTTAATGAAACTCATCAGTTAAGAGACGACATGGTTTGGATCTCTATAAAAATTGGAAATGATCGTTTGACTGCCTTCTCCAGTCCTGCAAGGATGTGTGAGGATGGCTCAGTGGTTAGGTTCGTTGTTCCTGGCATGACCAAACTTTTACCCAGAGTGAAGAGAGTCGCCAGCTCAGTGGTTAGGTTCGCTGTTATGCCAGGCATGGGGAATCACAAGGTGTGGTCTCATTGAAAGGAAGGATCAGAACACTGCTTGATAAGCATAAGCCTCTCGGTGTCCTAAAAACTACATACGGATGCTAGGTAGAAGCAAATACAACCAAAAAATACAACAATATCCTGAATTCCTTACTATTCTCAGACTGTCTTATAAAATAAATTTCTAAGATCTGCTTAAATGTTTTTTCTAGCTGTTTGTCGATGGAAAAAGCAGGTACTGTGGTTTAAGAAAGCTGATCTAGACAGATCCAATACTTGATATGTTTTCATTTCAAGCATTGCAATTGTGGAGAGCTTTTCACTTCATAGCTGAAAAATCAATGGTATGCTAAGAATGGCAACATAAAATGCAATCAAATGGAAAATCAGCTTAGCTTGAAGGGATTGCAAAAAGGGTGAAAAAGGATAAGACTTTTGTATAGTTAATATTTGGCTTTTGGTGATCCACACAACAAAAGCTGAAATACCCTTTCCATATCACAAGTTGAAACTTCAATATTTTGCGGGTATGAACCAGCTTACTAAATGCGAAAGAGCTTTCAGCCGTTTAATAAGAGTAGAAACAGAAGTGACTAACCTGCTTGGCCTTCATCCCTATCAATTGCTCTAATTCTAGGCCTGACCTCGACACTTCTTTCATTTTCATTAACATAACAATAATACTTTGCAGCTGACATAATTGGCTTGTGTTCATTAACATGGACAACAAAAACTTGCAGTTGGGCAGTTGCTGAACACAATGCATTTGCATCTTCAGCTTGCACATTGAAAATAAATGTTGTTGGACTGTTTGGGTTGAGTGCATGGGGCAAGTAAATGCTCCCGTTATGTGGAGATACTTTGAAGGGATGGCCTTTTTCAAGTATTTTGTATTGTAGTTGCCCATATTTACAGTGTGGGGCTTTAATGTGAAAGAGAGGGGTGTTCGGCTTTGAAGTTGACTTGATTACATGTGCGTAGATCTCTTCCCCAAATGAAAATTCAAAATCTAGAAAAAAAATTAAAAAAACAATAAGGTCAAAGCTTCACAATAAAGGACTGCTTAAAATTGCTACAAAAGTGCTTAAAATTGAGACTTCAGTGGTAAAACTGCTAAATGGTGCTACAATTGTAATGGCAAGTTAATGAAAAGCTTTAAACAACCTCTTTAGGAAACAATTTTTACACAATATTGACTTGTTGGAAAACTTTCTTTAGCATGCTCAATCGTTGTGTGAAATTGTAATAAATCTAAGCATGAAATCTGAAAACGAATCTGGACAAAAGGGGCTAGTAGCAGAACAATCTGCACTAGGGACAATGTCATTCATTGGTGTCGACTCTTACCAAATTTAATTTACTTCTTTAAGATCTTATGCCATGGGCATCAAATTCTCACAGTTTTATAAAGATGTTATTGAGTATGAAGCTATAGGGCTAAAAAATGGGCATATGCATTTTTAAAAGATCATTTTTAAGGCAAAGATTGTATCTTAAAGTGTTGTGTTTTAAGGTACACCCTTTTAATGTAAATTGAATTCCAATACAGTCTTGGCTTAATGGCCTGTAATTCACAACTCGTACATTGAAGCATGTAAAAATGTGCTGTTAACATGTTGCTTTATTTAGGAAAAAAGACTTTTGTCACTTACTTTATAAATATCATTTCAGCCAATATACATTATATTACATTGGTGTTTGAGTTAAATAAGTTAGAACACTTCCTTGAGATAAAGCCACACCAAGGATATATAAAAAAATCATAATATAGAAAACAATGGCTTCGAAAGTTTTGAAAAAATGGTCTCGGTGTTTGAAGAACTGTATGTTGATGATAAATAGTTGATCTTTTGGCCTACTGGTAAACATTCAATTGTTCGCAAGCAGAGAGGCCAAACAATGCCAGGAAAAATTTCAAACATGCATGACACTCAGCAAAAGCCAACATGGCGTTTCAACAGTTAAACAAATGCTTTCCATTAATCATTAAATTGAGCTTTAAATATCGGGCAGCGCCGCCCTATATTTCCAGTTCTTCTCTACTCGTTTTAGTCAAACTTCTATCCTGTAAATATGGAGGTGAGGTCCTCTGATCACAAAAATAAACAAGCGCATTCCAGACTGACCTTGATCTTCGTCGTGAAATTTTACACAAACATTCAAGGCACAAAGTCTACACAACGAGAATCATTTATCCATATTGGATTAACACGGCTTATGTTTAAGGTTTTGAGTTTATTTCAAGTAAACGATTCTCCATAACTGGCGACGCAGTATTACACATAACCTGTTTTCTTGTAACAATCTTTGAAAGCATGATCTCAATAGATTCGTCTCGAATTGCCTACTGGCGAGATAAATTACAAACCTTGACAAACAAAAAGCATAGTTTACCGGAAATGTATTAAGGAATAACAGCGAATGGCTACGCTCATGAAAAGGGTTAATCTTCCATATGACCCTTACTGGCGAAAAGAAAAAGTTTTGTTGCCGAACACAACTCAAATACGCTCACTTTCTGTCTACTTACCGGCCATTACAAACGCTACATTGAACAGTAAAATGCCCAGAAACATTGAACTCTGTGTATCCATCATTGCCTACGCGTATTTCACAGAAAATTAAAGCTGGCTACGGCTAGATTTCGAGGTCTTCTGAGGTTTCCTTCGGCCTTTTACATCATCATGTGGATTTTAACAATATTATCTGTATGCAAATCAATGGACGGATGGAGACGGGGGTCATCACAAAACGTTTTCAGAAAAAGTTTTCAGAAAATATTCATATTTTTATTATTACAGGCGCCTCTCTTCTTCTGATCTTTACAAACAAGAGCAGAGAAGGAGATAAAGGTTTTAAATTGCTCAATAGTTCTTTAGGCAGATAAAGAAATTCTTCATTGGGAAGGAGGAAGAGCTGGGGGCTTAAGAGACCCGTTTATCCCTTTCATGATAGGGTACATATCTTAAAAATCATTGTCTCTAGAATACAAAGTAAAAAGTTAGAAAAAAAGTTAGAAGATAAGAAACTTGAAAGATTTTGCAAATCAAATAGAAAAGTTTCAGTGGGATAAATATGGTTGCGGATTCTTTCATTATTGGATTTATTCTCATATCAGATCTAAAAAGTCTTCCTCGCCTCACTTTTAGTCAGCCCCCCCCCTCCCTCTTCCTTCATTTTTGACAAGATTCTCCATGACCGAATTACTCTATCTGATAGTCCCCCTTTCAAGATACCTCTTATTCCAAAGCTTAGGTTAGATGTTCACCTCACACTCACGCTCACACTCACATCACCTCACCCAACAAAAGGGTGAGTCTGGCTATCAAACATTGACAACTTATTTCCATTCAACCGCAACTTACGATTAGATGAGATTGTGCCGGGAAAACTCCCGTCGCGACGGGGATAAGCAGGTAAGACTGAAGCTAACACACTGATAAGATACGGAGCGAATGCATCAGCAGTAAAATCTCATGCACGATCTTCAACTTTGGATCATAAACATTTTCCCGGTTATTTCTTTTAAAAAACTTCCCTTGATGGACTTTGAAACATGGGCTCCGATACAGGTTGGAAAGTGGGGGGGGGGGTGGCAAAGCAAAATTCGACACCAATAACGAAAGATTTTGAAAAAAGCTATATTGTTTTGCAAAAAAGTGGGGGGCCAAGGCCCTCTCGACCCTCTTTCGTCGGAGGCCTTAGGAAAGTTTTCAGAAAATGCGAGAAAAGCAATCGAAACGAAACACGTACAGAATCTACGGACGGGTCTTTCATGGCAAATGACGCACTTACCCCCTGTTTGACCGTATCGTATCATGAAAATGGCCTTACCACTTCTTTGTGACCTCGACTCCATGAAACACTTGTCATTATTTGTTGACAAACTCTCATTGTCAGTTATCAATTATTAACGCCAAACATTGTAAAACGAAAGAGGCAGGTCAGCTTGCTTTATAATTCACTTAGTATCACCTTGGCCAGAAAAAGGCTTCGAAACGTAAACCTTTTATGATTGAAAGACGTCAAAGGGATTTCCAAACACAGAAACGACTGCCTACAAACCACACTCCTCGTTATTTGCCCAACCCTTTCATTATTCATGAGGCTAAGCTATAATATTTCATACCACCTAGTGTCAGCCCCCAGTGATGTTTTGTGTCCAGCCCTCTAATAATTTAGAAAATAAATGGGTGTAGATTCCATCGGACTCTGTCTACAAACCTGCCTATCTTCAAAACTTCTTCAAATTTTTTAATTGTTTAGAAGGCAAGGGTGAGAATGATTGTGACAGCCTGCAAGGAGGTCTTTACGTCGACCCCACATCGACTTTCCTCAAGCTATTGGTGTCTTGGTCGTGTTGAATTTTACCCTAATCTTTTGTGATAATCGATTGAAACAGGTATTTTAGAAGGTTATGTGTATTGTGTAAACAGAGGTTTCCCAATGACCAATGTTGGGTCCTTTGCTATTCCTTCTCCGAATGAGCGATTTAGGCTAACGAGGCCCTGTTCTGAATGAGTATTCATGTTGAATGATATTCGCTTTAGACGCCGTAGACAGGGGGTTCAATTCCAACCAAGTGAGGTATTATACCATTGAGAAGCATCCTCTCCGGTAAGCCTATGCCTGCAATTACTCTTATAGTAACGATGCTGGTTGCATTGGTAGAAAACGATGTTACGTCACGACAAGAGCTTAATAAACTTCAGCACTGAGCTTGCTATGCACAAAGTGATTTATTGTCTGTCACACGACATTATGCTAAAGGCTGGTGAAACTCTTCGTATTCTATCTCGCTGCATCGTTTTCGTCTTACTTCTCTATGTTTACTTCTCTATAATCGTTTTCATTTATGATCCATGAGAACCAGCCGCTTGAATTATGTGTGGCAAGAGCTTTCATTACAATCGATGAAAAACCGCCAGGAAATTACAATAATAATATTCAAGAGAAGTTTGGATGCAAAAGGCCACTGGAAAAGAGGATAGCTGACAACATGAAAATGAAAATTACTTGGAGGAGCTCGGTCTGACTATAAAGAGAATGGCAGATAGAACTGAATGCCTGGGTTTGGAAACGATCTATGACAGCAAAAAACAACGAAATGAAGCCCATCCTCAATGATTTTCCAGAAATAAGAATTAGAAAAAAAGAAGCTATGGTCAAAGGATTGTGCAGTCACCGACACAGTGAGCAGATTTGAAATTTACAGGGACAATTCTTTTAATTCTTTTTATGGAGAAATTACAATGATTATAGGAAGATTATTTCACCAGGAAAGCAGAAATGTAAATGGTAACAACACACATTCTCAAGATTATGAGCTTTTTGGTTTATTGCAAATTTACATTACTGCCTTTGTTTAAAAAAACAACAATAAAACCCTAAGATAAGGTCATACAAATAGCTCTACAAAAAAGTAACATAGATAGGTTAAAGCTATTTCAAAGAATTATTCGTATAAAAATTCAATAGTTTCATGCTAATTTTATCCTATTCTATAATCCTTTTGAATATGCCTTAAACAAACGACATCAAAGGAAAACATTAACAAATGGAACAATGTTCCACAAAGACATTTTTTGAAACAGCACTAGTGTACATCGAGTGGAATGATTAAGGGAAACTGCAGCTTAAATGACGCTCTTTATTTAGACCTTTCCCTACAGCTTATCAGCTTGTTTGTATGTCAAAGGGTATTGAAAATTGCGTGGGGAGGGTAAAGTAAGTTTGGAAGAGATTAGGTATTGTATTGTGTTTATTTTTAGATCTATTGTTACTATTTATTTTACTTGTTCATATTAGTTTTAATACTATCTTAAGTTCATGGCCCTTGTTAAACATTATTGCTTTTATGCAGTGGAGTAGATAATGGGAGGTCAGGGGGGCCAAAACCCCTCTGCAAAGCTAAACAGCTATTTTGTCGGAGAATTTCTGATCTTGTCGGAATATAGCATGGTTTTCCATTTTTATCCAAGCGTTACATTTTGAGAGAACAGTCTTTAAAGAATATCATAACGATTTTTAAGTTGTTCTGAATTAGATGGGCAACTTAAAAATGCCTTTTGCGAAGAGAAGACCACAAAATCTTGAAGACCACATGACTTTGAGTAAATAATTAGACTTAATATCGTGTTTTATTTCAGTTCTAATGTACGAAGAAACAGCAAATTGTATTATTTTGGAAATTAAATTGGAAACATTTTATCAATACTAGTAAAAGTTAATTGACCAGTCATCTGGAGCAACACGCCAACTACCACAGATCTGTGCCAATACTCGCGGCAGTAACAAAGCATTACAAAGCGAGTTGTGTTTATTTCCAAACCACTCCCTCGAAATTGCAGACCTTCAGTGAACAAGCTGAAAAACAAGCTTTCCTCAGTCTCCAATAAAACGTCGACAGTGTTCCCAAAATTGGCTTCTTTGTTACCCAAGTGGTGCAATTCTTAATTCTGGCCCTCGATAAAACATTTTGGCCCAATTACAACCTTGAGTGCACGACCCTTGTCCTTATAGCTATACATAGATAGACTAATGAGGTGAATAGAATATTAGTCATCTCACTGAGACAGACCGATTCAATATTCTATCTTTATTACGAATCTTCCAATATCAATACATTGAGAACAGTCCGATTTGAAAGCCTGCATTCACTAAGAGTTACTTCTAAATCATCTAACTTCCTTTTCGGGACATCGTTAGTGAACAGTTCTAGATTCTGTACATTTTCGTCATTACTTTGGGTTTCGATCGTGTTTCCTAAAAAAGCAAGGACATCGCCAATGCGATCTGTTGGACTGAAATACCTCTCCAGTCTCTCTCCAGAAGGGGTTCTAAATGCCAATAATAATCTATCATTTTTTGTCTTGTCTGCTTCGGCAGGGGCAGTAAACAAGGGATTCCCCGGAATCTCTCTTCTTTTACCAGAACTGGAAGAAAATTCAATACTTGACGAACTTTTAAAAATATCGCCCTTGCGGTAAAGCCTCCTGTCTTTCTTGACTTTGTTTGTCGTGTCAATGGATTTATTGGTGGAGGAATGAAAATTGTTGATGTCCTTAGTGCTTTTTATTATTATCTGTTCAGACAATTGGTGATCTTCCTTTTGTTTTTTAGTTTCATCAGCACCAAAATTTGATCTTTTTCCAAAGGTATCAGGTCCATGATTAGCAATTTTCTGGTTTCGTGAATCACAATGACAGTCATGGCTGCCAGTCATCTTTGAGTTTGTGTTTTTTCTTTCTTCATTGAGTTTTTTACAAGACTTTTGATCACTGTCAATCGAGCTGTCAATAGGAGGAAGAACACCATAATTTGAAAATGAAGACTTTCTCCCTGAGGAAGATACGATTGATGTGTCTCTGCTAATTTCTGTGCTGCTCAGTCCAGTTCCCTTCTGATCATTATTCAAAGAAGATGACCTCCTGACGACCCTGAAGTACACAAATAGCAAAAAGACATTAGCAATACAATATTGAAAAGATTATGTTATTTGATAACATTATAGTATTAAACCTCTTTGACACATAGAAACATTAAATTCTGTACACTATGATTTGATAAAGTGGTGCTGAGTTTAGAAAAGGGAAGGACATAGAAAGAATTTATAAGAAATAGAAATGGGTTCTAGAGATCAAATCTAAATACTGATGGAAATGAAAGCTAAAGAGGCAAAACTTTAATAAAGAAACTTAAACAGGTCTGATGAAAATGTTTGAAATCCTTGAACAGCAAAATATAAATATTCCCTTAAAAATGGCAAAGTAAACATCAATTGTAAATGTTTATGTGGCATAATATTGTGTTAAATAGAAAATTATAAAATAGAATTGAAACTACACTTGCATCACCTTCCTATTAGAGGCTTCCAGGGGAAAAGAGGAAATATTTTGTGCTTTTTCTGAATAATGGAGCACATAACTTTAAATTCAAACGTTTCTGGTAAGATAGACTTGTACTTAAACCAACGCCTTGAAAATCAATACTATATTAGCTACCTTCTACTAGAAAGTGGTCTTGCTGATGTTGGTGGAGTAGGGGTAAATTTCTGTTTTGAATCTTGCTTGGCCATTGATAATTAATGCAGCCAGATAAAATTCTGCATCTTCTCTGTTGCCTGAAAAAATATAGCATGCATAGTCTGTTTCTGTTTGCACATAGACTTTTGGTGCAAATATCCTTTTTGGTACCACTTGCAATGAATAGCTGCAACTTTTTAAAAAGCATGTAGTGAAGAATCACCTGGCAGTATACAATTTTGGAGCTGGTTTATGTTAGAACACCTGGCTAAATGCAATGGGCTATTTCCATCAATGTAGAAAATAAGGAACACAGCAACTTACCGAGAACAAACAGCAATAAACACATACAAATAACAGCTAATAATAAACCTAGGTATCCAAAGTGGATTTCTCTTAAAAGATGCTAGTGTATTATTTCCAATGATATAAAAAGGTTAATAAATCTGTTCAATTCAATTTAATTAAAATCGATTTAATACATTATTCAAGCTTTTGATTACAGGTTACATGATTACTAACTTACTTACAATTCAAAAGAACTCAGATGCTCATTAATTTAGAAATCACCAATTCTTTCCTGAATCCACTTTTGAGAACTAATTTTCAAACAAGAGTCAATTTTGAATCCACTTTTTCTGGGTGACATCAAATATGAATTTTGCTATTCCAATTTTGTAACATTCTTCGAAATTGTGGAGATCAAACTGTCGAAACAAAGGCTTGCTATGGGTACTTTTAAAGATACCTCCCCAATTTATGAGAGCATAATTATTATGCAGATGTATAAATGAAATATGAAATATTGATGAGTATATTTCTAGGAACATAATGCCTGAGTTTAGCAATAATACCAACACCTTTTGAGATTTCTTTGGAACCCTTCACAACAATTCTTTAGCTGCCACTTCTTTTTGGCAATAACACAACCGTGTTGACGGCTTTGTGCAGAAATTCAAAGCTTACACAATGTCGGTACCACAGCCGCATGAAATGACAACGGCATGATATCCTTTGTTTTTAGGACATCTGTTTACATGATACTGGTACCATACCAATATGAAAAGGTGTTAATCTGAATTAAAACCATGTAGATAGCCATACCGGTATGGCTTCATGCCAGTGTAGTAGCGACATCATGTAAACGGGTCATACCAGCATGGTACCAATATCATTTCATGCCACTTTCAACATGGGGCTAAAAATATCAAAAATTAGTTTATTTTTCATTTAGAAAAGCGCGTCAATTGATAGAAAACAGCAAACAAAATGGTGATCTCTTGTGGTCAAATCAAAATTATTGCTCCTCTTGAACGAAATAACTTACCACTCATCTTGTAAACAATTGCTCACTATGAAAGGTGTTCAAGTGAATTGATTACTCAACAATTCTCAGAAAAAAAGACAGAAAGCTAATTAAAATCGAAAACCTAAGCGATTCTGAAGATAATGGAAGAAATTTTGGAGAATGCCATAGTGTCTGTTTTATTTTCTCATATCCTTCTTCCTTTTTTGTTATGATTCACATTTAATTTCACATTGAGTTTCATTTCTTTGTTTACACGACTTTTTGGCAGTCATGTGCAAGCGCACAATTGGACAAGGTCACAATGGGGCAATGATTAACATATCGGCTATTGTTTTTTCTCAAGCGATATGATATCATACCGGTATAGTGTAAACAGGGCGCAAGAAAACGAAGGATTTCTGGATTTACCCATACCGGCATATGGTTTCATGCCGGCGTCAAACCATACCGGCATGGTACAGACATAGTGTAAACGGGGTCTAAATGTCCCCATTTCGCTATAGATTAGTGCAGTGGTGGCGCCAGGGGAGGGCTAGGGGGGGCTACAGCCCCTCCATTGGAAGCATCTAGCCCCCCAACGGAGGAAATTTTAGGTTATTGTTGGAGCAAATTTGACAAAAAAACGTACGAAAACTGCTTATTTTAGTCATTTTAGCCCCCCTGTCGGAAGCTCCAACCCCTCTGTCGGAAGATTTCTGGCGCCACCACTGGATTAGTGGAATTAAGCAGCAGTGGATGGATGGAATGGATGGGAACAGTGGCGGGGTGGCTATGTTTTCCCTGGGGTGGCCAAGTCGATTTTTGCGCCCTATCTATATATCGTCACAGAATACCGTGGTTATATAAAGCATGTGTTTCTAGAAGGGAAATCGATTTTTGCAACTTGAATGCAAAATTTCATAAATAAAGTTTGACTAAAATGCGAATATGTATGGAAAAGTTATGTTATCCTAACATTTGACCTTCTCGATCGTGGTTCGGTAAAATATCAAGCTATTTTGAATTGGCTTATAAGCGTGTAATCGCATATATGATGTATGATATACAAACATGGTTCAAGTTTGTTATTCTTTAGTAGTTATTAAATAGTAGTTGTTTCAACAACTTGAAAGTTTCGAGCATTGAATCGCACCATTGAATCTGACAGAGGTGGCGGCCACAATATTGAATCTGGGGTTGGGCTAAGGATCAAGTTTAGTGACAAAGGAGGACCCACCATGGTTGGGTCCGACGCGGAAGAAAATTTTTGAAATCAAGCCCTCTAGAATGGCTAAAAATGTATCTCCCATAATAAAATTTAACAAATCACTACACCGCTCAGAAAAGACAGTTCGACGATGCTCAGAAAGACATGGATTTTTTATTTTTTTTTAAAAATTTGGGAAGGGAGGATTCATGCGTTGGAAAAAGAAAGAAAGGGTGACCTTTGGTTCACATCGATGTTAATAACAAGAAGCTGCTGTATTGATTGCCAGGGTACATTCTATGTACTTAGGCCCGAAGATCTGTGGCGTTCACTCAGGCTTTTTGGCGTTCCGAGTACGAACTAATAGAAAACATTTTTGGCATACGTGAAATCTTCATTAGTTGGCGTGCTAAACATGAAGCCACGTACATAGTTAAAACGAAAACATATGAAACAAATGTTGATTGGGTCATGGCAGCGCAACGTGCTTCGATTATAGAATCTCGCGTTATTTTAGATTGTTCACAGCAAGTTATAGCGAAATGTTCTACCCGTGTACGATCAATTTTGATGTTACTAGCCAAATATTACAAGCAAACAATTTTGGCGCCCCCTTAACTCCATTTGCGCCCCTATTCAGGGGGGGCCATGGCCCCCCTGGCCCCCCCTGCCACCACGCCACTGGATGGGAAGTACGTTAAATGTGTTAAGGACTGCAGCCTGCAGGGATAAACTGTTAGACAAGATATAAGAATAACTACAGAATAACACTACATTTAGAAGGAAACCGCTTTTGGATAACATACCTATTCAGATAAAGCCATGCACTTCCCAATTTTTTCAAAACACAGGCCTTAAACGAAATCAAAGATGTCTGCTGTTTCTATGACAACAGGCTTCGTTCTGGTATGTGCAGTCGAGGTTCCCTTTTGATGAATTGGTGTGTTTGTGGGCGCATAGGCGCATATGAAAGAAGTTTTATACATATTCGTATTGTATTTTTGTCTCATCTCAACATACAAAAATGTCTATCAAAATGTTTACAGCAGGAAGTAACATAAAATATAATTACTCAATAGCCCTACCTATAAGATAGGTTTGGCATATTTCAAGTGGAACAATTTAAAAGAGCCTCTATCAAACAGGAACCTTTGAATAGGCAAACTATCGTGAAGAGAGAAATTTCGATAAATTATTCGTCTTAATAAATATGTAATTACATATGACTGTTGCAAATAACTGACGTGTAAATAATTTTTTGAAAACGATTCAAAAACATCAAATTCGTCGCTGAGATAACTTATGCACTCCCTTCACGAAAGCATCCGGACAGTTTCGAATTCAGTTGTGAATCTGCTGTTTGGTTACAAATTTCAAAGTCAGCTTTCATGAAAACACTTTTATCAATTTACTCGATCTTTCTCTTGAAGTTTTTTTGGCCTTTAATCTATTTATTCGTCGAAAAAACAATTTTATCGATATGTAACTCTGTGAGGGTTTTTCCTTTCTTCAAGATGATAGCGACCGAAACAAAAGAATTAACCTCTGAGCAGTGTCTAGAAATAATGTTTTATCACAATGATGGGAAAAAACAATCATTAAATTGCTAGCATCATTGGATGCTCAAAGACTGCCGCTTTCGAGAAATGCAAAAAAATTGAAAAACAAGAAGTCTAAAAATAGACAGAGAATTTTTAGAAAAAACTAGCAAACTGCCTAATCTCAAATTCTATGTCACATTCTTACTAAATCGACCATAGAGATTCCAAATCCTAGATGGGCCAAAAAAAATTATCACCGGAAGTTACTGTTTTGATGACGTCATCAAAAAATAATAAAAATTCTTTAAAAATCAGCCAAGGACTTGACCTCAACTTTTCTTGCATTTTGGCACTAAATTAACTAAGCAAATTTCAAATCTGAGATGAAATGAAAAATATCTTGAGCGGAAGTCAAATTTTTTGATGACGTCATCAACTTGGAGAAAATTCATATTGAACCTTTTTAATTGTTTTCTCGCAACTATCATTGTCAAATATGTTCCATATTCGAATAGCACACGTTCAGTGCTTTTGAAATATGTATTGAATTACTATTATATACTTAATTTTAAACGTTCTTTCATGACGTCATCATCATTTTATGACGTCATCTTCCTTTAAAGGTAATTGAATAACACGTGAAAGTATGCCTAAAAATCTTTAGCTAGTTAAAAAAGTCATTCAAAATTGAAATTTCGTTGAATAGAAAATGATATGGAATCCATTCATCCTTCATCACTGTCTCCTTTGCTGGAACTTCCAAAGAAATTGTAGTTCCACTCATCATCGTCTGCTTCAAGCTGATCACCGTTATTTCCCACGCCCTGGTCCTCATCGGTTACGGAATTTTCTTCGATTTCATCACTAGAGCGCTGCAGATCTTGCAGTTTTTTAACGAATTCGTTATTTGTTTTTCGATATTCTGTACAGTTTGTGAGATATAAGCTCTTGCATTTCGATAATTGAATTGAATTAACCGACAAAATATTTTCGGTTTGGTGACACTGTGACGCAATTTTGACGTCACAGTGTATTTCGTTAGTCTCGCCTCAAACCGAATCGAACATCGGCGATTCGCAAATTGAACACTGCAATTGTTGGTGCTCTCAGTTCTGTTCCACCGGCTTTTAGTTTGAGCATTTCAGATATCAATTCTGAAGACTCCTTCACGATTCGGTGGAAGATATAAGATATTCATGACGAACGAGAGCCGCACACTGTGACGTCAGAATGTCACAAAACTGATTCGGCTTTTGTCGTTTTTTTCTCGGAAAGGTGCAACTTTAAAGCCTTATAACTTCTAAACTAATCGAAACTTTGCAAAAACGACAACTTTGCTATAATACACGCACCAGATGCTAACTTTTTAGTCAATAAAAAAAACTTTTTTTGGCTGGAGAGGCCCTTTAAAGTTTTGTAAAAAAATATCTGTATAAAATTTAAACCACGTATTAAGTCTGAAATTTGAGTAGATCCCTTGGTTTCAGAAATATTTGTAGTGTTTTCTTGTTTCTTTTGAGAACTTTGGCTTTATTTGTCGCTAAACAAGTCTTCTCCATTTTCGGTATTTGATAGAAATTTGGACAATCCGAAAGGCGTTCAATGTATTCCTCATGGGAGCCACACCCTCTGCAAAGCGAATAAGTGTACTTTCCTTTGTAGTTTGCTATAAGGTCTGACATCTTTAGTTTAAGCTTCAGTAGAGATGAGGCTTCCTCACACCTCAGATATTCTTTCATTTTAAACTTATTATCCTTGGAGGTCAGTTGTCTTATCATTTTAAATTTTGCTTTCTACGAGAAGGTATCTTGCGCAAAAATTACTGAAATCCAAATCAGCACGAATTTTCTTTATTCAATGTTAAATTTCAATTAGAGTACTCTGCACCCATTTGTCATCAACAGCTCAACTTTGCTATTCCTGCTACATATGTTTTGTTGCTTAGAAATTGATCGATTTTTATTAATCATTTTTTGACTTGACCACGCCCCAATTTTCAGACCACACCCACCTGGGCCCCCCTAAGTTTTTCATGGCCGATTAAAAATTTTAAGCCAGTCCGCCACTTGCTCCATCCTAGCTCTACAGTGGCTGTTATTTTCTTGATAAATAATGAGAAAACCGAAATACAGTGAGTTATAACTTATCTTATCTATCGAAATTTCCCAAAAGAGATGTGTACTGTGGTTCGTACAGGTACACTGATTCTATTTTTGATAAAATTGCAACAATGACAGTTTCATAAAAAAATTTAACTCAGTACTTTAAAACCTCAAAAGTTTTCGATCACTTCCATAAAAAACACAAGGGCTAATTCTAGTTTCTATTTTCCAAAAATGGCTTCTGAATTGAAAACTGAGAAAGGAAAATGCTTAAAATTAACGAATATTCACTACAGCATGAAAAACACCCAAAAGCAAGATGCTGAAAAACAATCAAATTTGAACATAATATATATAACATAAAATGCCCCAATAAGATACGCTATAATAGTGGAAACTGTGCGATTCCCATATTGACAAAGAGAGCTCGTAATATCTTCAATATTTTGACAAGCTACTAATCTTAGAAAGTACTACACTGATGATCTTAAAGACAAGAGTGTTGCAAGAAATCATCATTCGCTAGTTACCAATGTGTAGTAGTGTCATGCATGACACCGTTCAAATTTATTAGGCAAACGATTCTAGTTTCTCTAGCTCATCTAAATCATCTGTTACAAGTCTGTTGATGGGTTTTTTAAAGTGTTCAGAAATCTGCTTCACCATATTCATCGACCTTGTTCCATCAACAAAATTAATTGCAAGTCCCTTCTTCCCAAAGCGACCTGTCCTTCCAATTCTATGCAAGTATGTCTCAAAATCAGGCCTGTTTGATTGGTTCACTGGTATGTCATAATTGACAACAATTGTCACTTGCTCTACATCGATCCCTCTAGCACAAACGTTGGTCGTTATTAGCAACTTTTCTTTTCCATCACGAAAACGGTTAAGGGTCGCCAGTCGCTGCTCAATCTCAAGTTCTCCTGTAAGCAAACCAACAGCATGGCCGTCTTTTGTCATTTTTCCAGCCAACCACGAAGCCGATCGTTTCGTCTAGAATAAAGTTGATACAATGATTGCGATTTACACATAAAATTCGAAAGATATCTACAGCAATCAGTGGCATTACCAACTAGTCGATCGATGCAGGACCAACTGTGGAACACGTGTCATTTTCTATTCTAGCTCCAACACCTTCTAAAAACACAAATTTGAACACGTATTTTCACCATGGAAATTTTAAATCAGCTGAACGCCTCAGCCATGGGGGATGGTAACCTTACTTGGTATCTCTTAATATACAAAAAGAAACATGTTGGCATGCATGGTTAATGGGGGGGGGCAAGCCTATTGTTTTAATAAGATGACGTGACATTTCCCATTGTTTTAGAACAAAAGACCATTGACCTCTAAAGTATTGAGGGGGGCAGTCGCCCCCTTGCCCCCCCAAGTGTCCGCCACTGACTTTCTACACAGTAAACATGCAAGATAGATTTCGCAATGCGAAAAAACATCTTGCCATTTTATACCATGAAATCCTGGAATTATAGCTTACAACTCTGCTGGTTAAGATACAGTCTTTAGGCAATCTTTAAAAAGACCCCACTTAACACTAGACAACGCTTGTAACTAAGCAAAGTACCACTGGAAAAACGACAGCAGTAGATCAATGGGTTGAATGCGAGTGTTTCGTTATAACACTGTTTTATTCACAAAAAAATAATCACAGACAAGTATTATGCTATGCCATGTAATGCAAAGTCATCTTCCAAGGAAACGCGTACGTTATTGGTAATAACTAGAGAATCTTTATCTGACAATGAAAAAACAGAGGAAAACGATCATACATAAAAAATATAAAATCCGTTCTTACATAAAAAAACTCGATTGGGGATTTTCTCAGAAGAAAGTGACGGCATAGCCTATAAATTGAGCGTCGAGTGAACTCGATTTGGTGATATTGCCCATAGTTGGAAAGGACACAAAAGACTTACGTGGCAAAACACCATGGATTGTCCAATCGTCAAAACCCCATATAAATTGGCCAAAGCCTCGTATTTCTTCTCCTCGCTTTCACAATTGACATAAAACTGCTTGATGTTGTCGAGACTTTCCTCTTCTCTGCGGAGTCGTATTACCACAGGATTCTGGACGATCGAGCTGGCGAAATTCATCACTTCTTGATCGTAAGTTGCAGAAAACAGTAGCAACTGGCAGTCTTTACCCAAGTTTCTGAAACACAAAGTGTAATGTTACCTGCAACAGCAAAGGAATTCTATGACCAAACCAATTCTAGGGATTAGGCAGATGGCTCTTGCTAGTATATTCAAGCCAAGGTTGAAAATATCCAGAAAATATCTAACGAAATTAGTAAACAAAACATTGAAATATGAACAAGAAATACCAAAGAAATGAAAAATGTCTGGACGCCAAGAGTTAGAACCTTGAGATGAATCAATCCACGCAAACATTTCTAAACAAATTGAAGATAAACTTCCCGTTTCATAGTTTTAAAAGTTTTAAATGCTATTTAGCTCGAGAATGTTGCAATTTTGAAAACTCTTGCACATCAATTAGGGCTAGTTCTATCAGTTCGCGACATGTTACCTGCTTGACACTTAAACATTTAGAATTGGTCCTGTACCTCACCTCCTAATTCGAATCGATTGATCCTGATGTCCCTGTGTTGATATCATGACATCCGCTTCATCGAGTACAAATATTGATATTTTCTTGGCGTCAAAGCGACGATACTTGAGCAGCCAATCAAGTACTGTGCCCGGTGTTCCAATTACCACTTGGCACTGCGACTTTTCCCCTCTTGGCACTGCATTAGAAAGGTACAAATGTGTTACGAAAAGCTAAATGGTCAAGCGAGAATGTATATACTTTAAGCATAAAAAACACTTTAGACCAGTATTATCCTAACTTATTATACGAGTTATTTTAGGCAGGTAATAATACCTTAAATGTGTTTGAATATTCACACCTCGTTGGCCTTTTAAAGCATAATCCACTTTCAATCCTTTTTCCATTAAGTACTTGCCCATCCTTGACAAGACAGATCCAGTTTGTCGTGCTAATTCAAAGGTTGGCGATAGCAGAAGAGCCTAAAAAAGACATTTCACGTCAGTATGTTATAGCTGCAACATTGGAAAGAAACTCTAAACTGCATCGCCCTTGTCACATTGGGCGGCGGTGGGAAAAGCTGTACCAGATTACACATCTTCATTATTTCCTCCAGTTAAATTTAAAACAAGGACACCATATGATTTCCATACAAAAATATTTTACTATCTACTTACTTGAGAAACCTCTTCAATAAACTAACTTATAAACCTCTTTGATAAATTTACCAATTCTTTATCAAAAAGGGAATTTCCCGGTTAGTTTTTAATGTGATTACAAACATGTTTCAAAGCAGCCACAGCTTGCCGAAAGAGCCGTAAGGTTGTCTGCAACAGATACCACCAACCGAATGATTTTTAATGGAAACGCTCGTTTCCCTTATATTGCAATTGACTACAGTAATATAATAAGAGTTAAACTGGTTCTAAATTTTCTAGATCATACAACATCGCAGACGTAAGAATTCTTAATGGAAATACTTGATAGTGACACACTGTGGCTGGTGTTGAAGTTTGTAGCTGCCCTATCAAAACTTGCTACGGCTTTGCCAAAATTACATGGAATAATGATTTGAAAGGCTCTTGAGCAATCAGCATGCCTTGCGGGTAGTTGTTCTTTTACTGCGAGAATCGCATTGCCTTTGACTACTAATATATAACTACATAAAACTACTAACAACCTTTAAACTGATCAGTGACCTCACACAAGGCCGTTGCGGGCGTCTGTCTTAGAAGGCTTCTTCTAATTAAAAGATACCAGTCATAAAGGACCAAGGCAATAAAGGTCTTGCCTGCAGGATGATGGATTCATGCAAAATACTTTGAAATAAGCAAAACAACTGTTACCTGAGGATACGGTTTACTGACATCAACTCTTGAAAGCATTGACAAAACAAATGCTGCTGTCTTTCCTGTGCCACTTTGGGACTGGGCAATCATATTACTTGGCCTGCAGTTCCAAAGTAGAGCAGGTTATGAAATAATGCAAATCTTTTAAACTAACAGAAAGGTATTGCAAGAAAGACATTGAAGCTGGGGTTACGGGGAAGGTTGGTTGACGTACCAGAATCAAGACAAGTGGAGATCGCATGGACAATAATGTTGAGGAATGTTGAAATCAAAAGAATAACAGTTCTCACACCTTGTTCTGGCCATCTTTACATTGCTTTATTTTAGAAAGGTTTAGGCTGTCTAGCTGGAAAAGGATGAATAATTTTCTTGCCTCTGTGTCTTACAAATGCAAACATTAATATCTGCAAGATGTCTAGCAACAGAGATTATAAGAAGTTGAACCAGGTGTTAAATGGTACAATTGACAACCCAGAGACAAAAATAAAAATAATGGACTTTAAGTAATACAACTGGAGTTGCTCAGATGAACGAAAGTTAAAGCCTTCCTCGTGCTCCAATTTTGCAATACCAAAATACTGATGCAAGCACAATAACATTGTAATTATAAGCATATAAAAAATCTTCTTTACAATTATCAGATAAGGAAGGACAAAAGTGAAGACTCACGGATATGCAAGAAGCATGGGAAGGGCAGTCTCCTGGATCTTTGATGGTTTGTTGAACCCCATATCATATACACCTTTCAACAAATCATCATTTCTAAAATAAATATAAATTGTCATGAGAAAGATGAAACATCAATGTAATGCATTATGCCATTCAAATTTGTCTTCAATAAAAAATAAACAAGATGTCTGATTGCAGGTCTCCATGCAGCACTGATTTAGAATACAAAAAAATAATTAAAATAATACTTTCTATATGAAAGTTGAATTTATTATTGATTGGCTGTACAGCATGCTGAACTACATTGATTATGGTGTCAAAACTGCGACTGTGACTTATTGAGTGGGTGTATAACAATGAGGATAGATGTTCAGGAAAAAAGGTATTTCTGGGCAAATATTGATACTGATACAATATTGATACTAGCAACAGAACCCAGATTGACAAATGGTCATCTGTGTTATCATCAGGTCCTTCACAGTTAGATCATTATACTTTTGAGAGAAAGGATTGTCTTATACAAGGCTCAACAGGACTCAAGCACAGAAAGTTACTGCAGGATGCAGGGGCAATATATATCCCCTGTGGTACTTTTTTCTTAAATTCTAATTTAAATTTTTATCAGATGAATGGAGAATTATCAGATGTGCCATATGTCTCACTTTCTGAATGATATCGTAATATTTGGGTATTTGCTAAAATTCTTGCTAGAACAGTTTTAAAAAATCACATAGTGTATCTCTTACAATTCCAGGCAGCTCTACTCCTGCTACACACCCTTTAAATTGCTAATTAGCAAATTCATATTTGCATTGGATTGCAGTACAACTATTAAAATCAACAACAATCTTCTAAAGAGCCAGCCTTAAAGGTGAAATACACGACCCTTTTTATGTCCATTTCACCTAAAGGATAAAAAACTACTGATTTTGTAAATTGGGCCATCAGTTATAGTTTCCCTTGCACCAATGCAAGTTGGACCTGTTCAAATATTTCAGCCTTAAAGGATACGTTTTTCTTTTGCTTTCTTGGCAAGGCCCTAAAACCTTTTTTCTCAAATGTCTCCATGTTATGTTATGATGTCATAACATAACTGGTTCAAATTAAACAAGTCACAGTGACTCAAACCATCACAGACCTCTCCAAAATAATCTATTCACAGATGAACAGGTTATTCTTATTCTGTGCCTCTGAATTCCCCATTCCTTTGCAAATATTTTTACTTTTCTGCCGTCACTGCATACTTGGCTTGTTTTATTCTAGCCTCTTTTGGACTCACTTTCGCTAGTTTCAGGACTTACTTTCACTACATTGTTTCAAGGCTCATTCTTGAAAAACTTTCCTAGTGCCAGAATTACACAGGCAGTAGCTACTTTCTTTGCTTGGCCTACCCATGACAAAAAGAAAGAAATGGGAAGCTTACCACCATCCCCTTTTTCATCTGTTGGGTGAAAACAGGCGTGAAAAATGACATTGTTTGGCTGATTTCCAAAAGTGTTTGGGCAAGGATTTAGGTTTGCAGCTTGTGTTGCTAAGTATTTCAACATGAAAAAATAAGTAACTTACAAATCCAGCTCCTCAAAAGTTTTTGCAGAATACAGTGGTGAATTTGGGTCTCTTTGCAACACTTCCACCTCACTCTTAACATTTGTCAAATGAGTTCGCAATACTTTTGTCATCAAAGACGCCTCTGCCACAGTCACTTCCTTTTCTAAAAACAATGATACCATCATTATGTATCAAAATATTATCTGTAGCTAGACATAAATTTACTGGTTTGTGATCTGGTTCTAAAGTTTCCATTTGATTTTGAGTCATAGATTTTAGTATCTTTTCCTTTTTTGTTAGTAATTACACAATCCATTGGATGAGTTTTTGCGAGGTGTTTTTTTGCCGAAATGCAAGATGCCAAACCATTTCCAAAGATACTACCAGAAAAGATGAAAACACCTTTTACTGCCGGGGAAGTATCAAATGCCTCCCACAGCATTAAAAATAACAAAAGTCCTGGCATTGGCAAAATCAAAATCAAATACCTAAAAAAGTCATATATCAACTCATTGCTAAAATATTCAATTACATTGCTAAAACCAGTCAACATCCAGGCCCTTCGCTGATTAGATTTTATGTCATTTCATATCTGCGCAAACAAACAATGCTGCTAGAGATAAACTGGCTTTTATTTTAATTAACAAGCCATACCTTCACTATCTGCTCCATTTTTTTTAGCTTGACTGGCTTCCTCTTTGGAATCTTGTTGACCAGTAGCTGATTTCTTCTCATCTGCTACATTTAAACTGTTGACCTAACAACAAAATGCATTCAGAATGTAACCAAAAATTGAAGAAAAAATATTACAGAAACTGAAAAATTTATAGAGGAACCTGAGAAATAAGATCCAGCAGGCCAGATCCTAAAGAAAGTTCTACCCCTAAAAATGTGGATATGCCAAGCCCTGGTCCAGGGACTATTTTAGTGTGGTTTTTCCCACATTTTGTGGCCTTGGAAATCCAGAATGTGGTCTTGGAAATTCAAAATTGTGAAATGGGTTTTCCATTTTAGGTATATTTTTGTTATAAATATGTTTTTCTGTTGATAGAGTTTTTAAAACTTTATAACATAACAGAACAGTACAAAACTTCCATGAATCGTAGCGCAAGTTCCTTGGTCCAGAAAAATCTGGTCCAGCAAGAGTAAAAAATGTTATAGCCAATCAGCTTTTTGCTCTCAAATGGTGTAAAAGACAATCAGAGCTTGTAAAAGACCCCTGAATCTAGCGAAAATAACAACAATGGCAGCCAAACAGCCACCAAGCTGCATGAAAGTGCACTAAAAGCTTTGAACTGCTGCAAGCGAAAAAATCTCAAGGCAAAATAAGTCTATGATTTTTTCAATATCTAAGGGTCATTCTAGATTTTCATCATGCGCATTTGAGAATTATGCTCCTAAACTGGAGATATGACTGCATAAAAGTAGCCTAAATTGGGGAGACTTTTACTCTGTTCAATAATTGCACAGGGGCTATTGTCATTATTTTTTATATCAATTCTCTATATCATCTTCTTACGCTAACACAAGAATGAAACTCCTGTAAAGTTAAGCAAAGCTGTAAAAAATAAAATTGCACAAATTGTTGAACGGTTTGTAAAATGTCACATCTGAAATCAAAATTTAATTGGTTTCAGCTTTGTTTTGACTTTACAGGGCTTTCTTTCTTTGGTTAATTTCTCATTCAGCAAGAAAATAATATCAGAGTCTTTTTAAATTGAAGTTTTGCTTTGAATCGCTGCTTTTTCTAATCTTGAGTGAACAATTTTATTCTGTTAAAAAGAAACCAAGAATTGAGAACTATTTCACCAAAAGCACTAACAGCAGGAGGATAGACAATAAAAAAGATGAGGAAAGCTGCAGCAGTAATGTGCCTGAAAGCAAAGAAGTCCCGAAGTTCAACAACAACAAGGTCTCGAAGAATCAACATATGTCAAACAAGGTGCCTTAGATATCACCTCATCAAGAAATAAGACAAAGAAGACTCAAATTCCCACCTTAGAAGGACCCACCTTAGAAGGAAACACCTTAGAGGGATCCACCTCAAGACAAAGTTCCGTGTTAGTAAAGAAGATTGGTTCAATGATGGCAACTGTCTTTAATGATTGAAAGAGGGGATCTTCGTCTTGGCTTTTGAGGGAGGTTGCACATCAAAAAGCAATCAAATACAGTGCAAACGGGTAAACAGGCAAATTTGAGTCAGCAGCAGGTAGTTTCAGATATCTTAATCTAACTCACCATGCAGACCTTCCAGATTGCATTGTTGAATCTGATCGCCTCACAATAAAAGATCGATTTGAGAGTGTTTTGGCTGTGTCATAACGTACAGATGGCTCAGTTGATCCAGTGCAACAGCATAATTGTCATCTTATGGCCAAGATTGTTGATTTGAAAGGAACAGAGTCACTTCTTCTTCTTGGCTTTGCAGGAAGCAGAAAGCAAAGAGAAGGGTGCAGCAGGGTATCTCAAAGCCATTAAAGAAGCATCAGAAAAGACAGTAAATTGGGATGCATTGCTTGCAAAACCATCTTCGATTGTCACTGATGGAGAAAACATGAATACTGGCCAGCATAGAGGGTTTTGGAAACTGTGCCAAGACCAAAGAGATGCATCTGGCTCAAAGTTACCTTTAATAAAGATTTGGTGTGCAGCTCACAGAATGAATCTGGCATGGAAAGCAGCCTGCCGAGATGTAATTGAGGTGAAATGTGGTGAAAGTTAGCTTGCTAAAAAATGTTGCCAGACTTTGTACATATTTCCATCTATCAGCGGTTTGCACAAGGGAACTTGAAACCCTAGCTAAAAAAACCAGTTTAAAACTGTTCGATCTTCAAAATACTTTGAAGTGAGATGGACAGAGTTCACAAGTAGCATGCTTGAAGTTATCTTGAAAATTGGCTTGCCTTTATACTTCTTCTTAAAGAATATAGCAATGACACTGAGGCAAGAGGAATCAGATCAAAATGGCTTGACAACATCTGACTTGTGTTACTGCTGACGTCCTGTACATCTACAGAAGATTCCAAAAGTGTTTTGAAGATGACTCAATAACAATCATGGATGTAATGGAGCACAATCATGGAGCACATAGAGTCAAAAAAGAAAATGCTGTGCAAAGATTTAGTGAGCTCTTAGCAAAATCTCTCATTAGTGGCTGGGAAAAAAAGTTTCAGTCCAATGTGAGCACCACTGAAGATGGTACCAAATTCTATGGGCATGACCTTATTATCGCAGAAAGAGGCACATCAAGGCACAACAGATAGGTCTCTGACAAGCCAGCCATGGAAGCAGTACATTGCGAAATTATTCAGTCCATTATTAATTATCTGAATGAGAGATTTCAAGAAGAATGTGATTGTTCAACTGCACCCCACCCACTGTGTTTATTTACAAGCGATATCAGTGATGACAGCTTGAGAAAATGCCATGAACATATTTGCCCTGATCTGCAACTTGGGAGATTTCTTTAATGAATATAAGGAAATAGGGTCCTTTGAGAAGCTACAGAATCATGGGCCAGCTCAGATTCTGCAGTTCATGTGGTCCTCTTTCAATGATGATGAGTACATGGTAATTCAAACACCCCTCGCAAAGACTGTAGAAGCTAAGCCACATTCGGTAGACGTTGAATGTTTGATCAGCACATGCAACAAAATAAAAACAAATGACAGTGCCTCCCTGTCTCCGCAAATGATGCTCAGTTATCTGTATGTGTCTCAAAACATGCCAAGCGAATCAGAATTTGACCCTACTTCAGCTGCTTTGTTTTGGATAAACAAAAAGCAACGATGGGAACATTCGGTATCGAAAGCAAAGGAGCAAGAATGGTTCCTTAAAGTATTTCCTGAGGCAGATGATGCCTACAAAGAGAGAAGGATTAGAAAAAATAAAAAAAGGCAAACCTGATGTCGATTTCTGAAATCTGAAATAATTGAAACTGACCAGCTTACTCTAAGGCCCCCCATAAATGGACTCCCCTATCATTCATTTTTCAAAAATCTGATAGCCCCCTGCTCTTATTGGAGCTCCCCCGCTTTTCAAATTTTTAGGCTTAGCGTGTCCTTCAATATTGAGATAAGTATGACCTTTAACTACTGTTACTGTTGAACTCCATAAAGAATAAGCTATAATAGAAACATATTTGTAATCGTCTTATATTGAATATTTTTGTTTTACACGAATTGAGAAAAACGCTTTCTACAGCAATGGTCGATATTTTGAAATTCCATGCTTCATATACAGCATTCTTCATGGCTCGCCTCGAACGGCCAGGCTTGACAGCCATTTACTTTTCTTTCATACCAGGACCCTTAGGATAACAAAATTGTTATCATGCTGACAGGTTATTGTGTCTAAATATTTGTGTTTTTATTACTACTATTATTATGAAACAAAAAAGAAAGAAACAGAGTCAAAAATTAATTTATACACAAGTAGGCCGTAAGCTGTGTCAGATTTTTATTTGGTCTCGTTGCCCCCATTCCGGCACTACGTTTAATAAGCATTTTCCTGTGTGTTTTTTCGTGCTGATTACGAATATTCTTGTTGTCAACTGTTAAAACCTGCAATTCTCTTGAAATTCAGCTTCAAACTTCACCATTCCCGCACTTAAGGTGTATAACATGGAATGCCGAAAGCCGATGCTGCTTAATTATTCTCGGCCCTATATCACAGTCCGGGTAATACCGAAGTACCAATTGCTTTAAAATAAACATGGCAGTCGGCTAAACAAATTTCTCCTATTACGTTGTTTGATACATTCTTGACATTCTTGCTTTCCAGTAGCGGCACCAAGGGGTAGTATGGACTGTTACCCCCCCCCCTCTTGCAAAACATTGTCCAGATATTCTCCTAAAATTGATAAAAAATGCACTGGGTAGGGGCAGGTCATATTTTTCAAGATTTGTCTATGGAAATGAACCTGGCATAAAAAACAATTAAAATGAGACAGTAAAGGCGTAGTCTCCTGGGTCACGCCCATAACCCTCCCACTCTGCTACAGCTGGCGCCACCACTGTTTTATTTTTAACCCTTTTACAAAGCTTAAATAGCTAAAATGTTTTTCATAAAATTTATTGATTTCAACCTGATGTAAGAGAGTAAAGTACAAAAAACCATAAAGGGATGACGTCATCAACTATTCAAAACCTGTATACGAGAACAGGGCCGCGGAGAGAATTTATGGGCCCCGGGTCAGGACAAAAATTAAATTATAAAGCATGCCTAAGGCAGACGCTTCTAGGAGGTATGGGGAATGCTCCCCAGAAAAGTTTTGAAAATTATGGTTGCTTAAACTGCTAGGGTGGCTATTTTGGTTGCTGAAATTGTCATGGTGGCTAAACTGTGCCGGTGGCAATGGTGTAGATAGAGGGGGTCAGAGAGAGCAAAAACACCACTATAGAGCTGAACTGCTATTTTGTCGGAAAACCTCTGCTCTTTTCAAAAATTTAACATGGTTCTATGTTTATCTAAATGCTATGTTTTGATGGAAAAAATTTGAATCTAAATAAACATAAGACTATTTAATATATCAAATGATCTTTTTTCAGTTCTGATGTCGTTATGTTATGTTGAAATTTATGAGAAAGATATAGAAGCTTGTTAGATTTTGTCGGAAAATCCATGGTTCTCACCCCTCCTGTGAATTAGAAAGAAATAGAAAATAACAGGTACAAGATGATACGTTTAAATAACTGAGAATAAAAAACAAATGGGTTAGGCGCAAGACTTATACGGGATATTTAATAGAAGAGATATGATTTATCACAAGTACATTTATTACTTTAGGCAACTCTTTATTCTGTTCCCTTCCATATCGCACTGCTTCATTAAACCTTGCACTTCTTAAATACAATCGATATACAATGTACGCATCAAGTAGCATACTTACCATACCTGATAACTGATATCTGATACCTGACAATTTGAGCTTAACTGATGTCTTAGCACCATAATGCATGACAATGAAATTTTCTTAGAAATTCTTAAAGGCTAGGAAATGAAAAACGTTCCATTCATTAACTAAATTGGACTACAACAGACACACTGTTGCAAATAGATGCGAACGCCATAGTGTAAATCTGTATGACATACATATTGCCCTGTATGTTACCCTGCAATCGCATTTCGTAACATTCAGAACCTTTTGAACTTCTTTAGACCTAGCCAACAAAGATGAGAAATTCTTAACAAAAATTTCTTCACGACTTCATGGACCTTTATCATTATTGTCTCTAATATTATGTTTTGTTAATGTTGATGGGGAGGCTGGATTATTACTTAGAAATTTTGTTCAATTGAGTTATTATTTATGGGCCCCCGGGTCAGTGACCCCCCTGACCCCCCTCTCCTCAGCACTGTACGAGAATAGCCTGTACAGTATGAGCAAGCTTACTCGCATTTGCCAACTGTAAGCTCGTTCATGCTGCTAACTACAGTGTTAACTACAAAAACAGATGGTTTTGACCATAATACATGATGATGTTGTGATGACGTCATAAACCGTTAAAAGGCATCTTCTCAGACACGAAGCGTTTGACAACGCTCTAAGTTGCACGTTTATATACTAACTTAAGGCAGTATATATATACGTTTATATACTACTTTATATACTAGTGAGGGCAGTTTCTGTGTCAAAAAATGTTTTTTAAATAATTTGACTGTATCGATGACGTCATAAAACCTAGAAATTATTGACCCCCGTATCTTACGAGATGCATGTTTGTCAGAGTGACAACAACTGATTTTATATCAAGTAACACATTATGAACAAGAAAAAACAGTCGTGAAGTTGTGCCCAGATGCGGGCAACAAAAATTGATTTTGGAGCACCTTTTTTGGTCACAGCTTACGGCCTAAAGTGGAAAATCTGGAAACTTAAACAGAATCCTGTAGGATACTTAAACAGGATCCTGCAAAGATCCTATACAGGATCCTCCAAAGATTTTTCACTATGGTAGCTATTCTCTAGACAAGAATTATAGCATCAGTTGGTGCAAGGTCATCTCCAGACCCTTGGTTAATGTTAACATCAGGCAAGAATATGATAGATTTACTTCATTGCCAGTATATCGTATTGCAAAGTTGTTGAAATGAGTGTCTGCAAATCTCTTTCAGGTCTGCACATTTTTCTATAATATGGGTCTTTGAAATATTTGATACAACTAAAATCAGAAATAAAAATTTTCTGGTTGAAACTTGATGTAATTTTTACTGTTTTATTGATAATTGGGTCTGATACATCTGCTTCATTTTCAAATGGCAAAGCTTTTTCCGAAAATTTATATATGTTATTTTGAAAGTAATTCAAACTTTGAGAAGAATACATATTGATTCTTGAGCCACACCAATATGGATACAGGGCAAAATCTTGAATTATGAAAGATAAAGTAACTCTATCAAAGAAAAATAATGTCATTGAAAATGGGGATTTCAATTTGCTACTTTACATGTGATGCAAATTGTAATCAAGGTTGGCCTAGAACATAAAGTGATCAAAAACAACATAAGAAATAATTCTTAGATCACAAATTTTCAAAACTATTTTTACAATGAAAACAATTTCGATGAATATGTCATGGAATTTCAAAACATAAAGACTGCAACTAGTCAAACCAGACTGCATTCTTTGTTTTGAACATTTTGTAACCTGGATAACTAAGTAACAATTCTGTTAATCATTTAAAAACATATATTTTGCTCACTCTCTCAACAGGTTCAGTTCAGTTCAGTTGCCATTGACAATTATAACTAAATACATAATACAAATATATGCAATCGAATAACCTAAATTAACTAAAACAATCAAAATACATGACAATCAACTAAATCAGACAACTACAAAATAAATCTACGCCCGACACAGAAGAAAGTGAAAAAAGGCACAATACTGTACAGAACAAAGAATGAGCATGGGTTTCAGGAGCAGTCAATAAAACTGCATCTGAAAACCATGCTCGTATGTATTTAGGTATAATTTTCTAAGGAGGAGCTCTCTAATAGGTAAACTAATCGAGAGAGAGCTAATACGACATACTACTAAACTCCATAAAACAAGTTACCTTGGCTTCCAAACCAGTGGCACCTTCCGCATTTTGTGGTTTCTTCTTTAATGCATGTTGTTCTTGCTCTTTTACCATCGCCAACCAATCGCCCTCCATTTTGGTTGCTTCGAAGTAGTTCAATCTGGTTTACATGTGCTTAGAATCTAAGCACTGAAATTCTGCCTCCTTCTGGAGAACAACCATATAACGGCGCAGGAGATCGGGGACCTTTTAGCGCCTCAAAATTTCAGTAAGACCCCCTCCCCTAACAGCAGCCAATTTATCGCAGTACACGCATTTTTCAAAAATTCAAGAAATTTCTAATACTGGATACTGGTAAGCTCGGGGGCGGTATCTTATCATGCATGAAGGTACGGGGAGTGCCTTTATTTAAGGGGTACCTTTTTCTGAAAACTGCGGAATAATCGGTATCAGTTTTGGAAATATGTGCGGATTTAGCATTAACAAAATGAATGTCCAATTAGAAATAGAAGTATGAATTATGTGTAGTATTGAGATTTTGTTTTAACCAATTGGCACGTCCTGTCCAAAATCAGGCTTAGTCCCCCGCCCCCCCCCCCCTCCGAGACTGGTAAGGAAAAAGATAGATTGAATCTTGGCAGGCCATAATAATTTCATGGATTTTTAGTAGACCAATCGCATGGGCTCCGACGTAAGTTTCAAGGAGAGGGCCAAGAGCAAATTTAACAGCCATGACAAAATATTTTGAATAAAGCTCTATTGTTTTGCAAAAAGTGGGGGCCATAACCTACAAACAAATGAGGACACACCCTCAATTTTCTTAGAAGAAACATTTTCATTAGTTACATTAAACAGGACCAAAGAAAAGGTGAATAAACACGTGCAGCATACACAGACAGTGTGAAGACCAAGCTTATCAACGAAATTTTTAATTTGGGCACATCCATCTAAATGCTCGAGTCAGGGGCGTAACTTGGCCAATGGGTTTGGGGGGGTGAAAAGGGTTTCTGCCCTGCAAAACTGACTGGTGCCCTGCAGACCTCGTAGCAACGGTTTGTCTATAGGTTACTAGTGAAAGCTTTACCAGTGTACACTGGTCTTTACCAAGGACAAACTTCTAAGCAATGAAAACAAACTTGAAACTTCATTGCCTATGAAATACCTATTTCTCTACGTGAGCGTAATTTTTTTTATATTCACTTCATTTAATGTTGGTTTGCAAAATACTAGCTAATAAACAGCTAATGGGGGGGGGATACTTGATGCAGACAGCGCAACGAAATTTAGCTCAGGGGGACTAAGAATCAAGTTTAATGAGGTAGGAGGACCCACCATGGTTGGGTCCGACGTGAAGAAAATTTTTGAAATTATACCTTCTAAAAGGGCTAAAAAGCATCTTTCACACAAAAATTTAGCAAAATACTATTGTGCTAAAAGAACTGATTGTTTATTGAAAATATTATTGTTTATTGGAAAAGATAGGGAGGGGGAATATCATGCTAAAACTCTAGTGTTAAACGTTGGGGAAGGAAAGAAACGGCAACCTTTCGTTTCAGATTGCACGTAGTTGTGAATGACAGAGGAAGATGTTGTTTTGATTTGAGGAATTTTTTTTCCTGAACAGAAATGTGCAGTTTCTTGTTTCAAGAAGGACATGTTTACGCATAAAAAATTAAAACATTGCAGTGATACAGAAAATAATTTACTGAATTAATGCAAATGAAAGAAAAATGATAAAAATATACGTGAAAAAGTTAGCAATTAGATGAAACAAATTCGGTTCTTAACAAGAATCTTAACAATTTATTATGTTTTTTAGTTCATGCACTGTTAAAAAGTAATAGAAAAAATGATAAAAAATTCTTATCTTGATCAAAGTGAGGGCCTTCGGCCCCCTATTCCCCCCAGTGACGCCGTGCCTGTCATGAAAATAATTACAACTTAAATTAATTTGCATGGACTCAATTTTGCCCTCATAAACATATGCATCCATCATTGCATCCATTGGCTATGACTTTCGGTAAGAAATGCTTTCGCCTTGCAAATAACGGAGCTTTTATTTACATACCTGTTCCGTTCTCTAAAATACAATGTCAGGAAGGGAGGTTCATAAAAAATACGATATTTCCATTTAAAAATTCCTAAACGGCCCTTTACGAACTTCAGAGGTGGCATTTCTGCGTGGCAATAGAGCTCTTCTTGGCGCCCTGCGAAATCTTCGATTGCCCTGCGAAATCGACTATTTTTCGGATTGGGGGGGTGTCACACCCCCCCACACCCCCCGGTATTTTCGCCCCTGGCTCGAGTAGTATTTTTAATGCGGCTGAAAGGATAAAGTTAATGCAAGAATGGGTAAGATTTCTCTAGAAGGATGGACAATGAATGTATAGGCTTATATTTCACTAATATCATATTGATAAAAATTTAAAACAATTATCTGGAAATTGTAGAGGCAAGAATGGGCTTGCCACAAGATGATTCTATTCCTAGGACGCTTTAAGAACATCAAGAGAACGAATGAATCAAGTGAGAAAACTGGAAGGACGCCGGAGCAAATTTCGGGCTGGGAGGCTTTAAACAAATTGGCAAACATTGTGGTAGTTTTTCCACCATTTTATTTGATGCCAGAACCTTACATTCATACTTCAGTGAGTTCAAGTAATAAGTAATGTGATTCACTCAGATTTCTCATTTGAATGCAAAAAAACATAGAACACCCGCAAAGGAATAGTGAAAGAAAGACTTGGCGAGGTAAACTTAGAGTAAACGAAAAACTAGGCTCACTATTGGGAGATTGTGAAGGTTGGAGAAGAGAAATGAGCTTTCAAATATTGCTGAACATTGATTTTCTGCCCCTTTTTTCTACATTTTAGAATTTCAATTGAATATTATCAGTAAAGTTTCTGTCCAGGGGGGAAGTGTTATCAAAATAACAAGTGGGGTTCTTGCTACACTGGGTACCAACCATGCACAGAGCTCCGCCACTTCTCCCTATCCATCGCCATTCTTGATAGTTCTCGCAATCCCTCTCCAGTCCACTCCTTGATGTCGTCTTCCCATTGCCTTCTTGGTCTGCCTCTTTCCCTTGCGCCCTCAACTTTCCCTTGGATCAATGTCTTTGTCATCGCTGTTGGTTTCCTCATCTGGTGTCCAAAGCACTTCAGCTTCCTCTTTTTGACTGTCTCTGTAATTGATTCCGGCCTGCCGCCCAACGTCTCCGTCACTTTATTCCAGACAAATTCATTCGTTTTCCTCTCCTGCCAGCTTATTTTCATCATCCTTCGGTAAGATTTCATCTCGAAGGCCTTCAGCTTTTCCATGCTCTTCTTGTTCATTGTCCAGCTTTCACATCCGTATAACCAGACTCACTCTATGAAAATATCTCTCTTACTTTCTGTAGAGTGAATCTTGTACCCAGGGTAGGTTCCTGCACAAAATGTTGCAGAAAACAATAGCAAAAATAGAAACTGACTACTTAACAGCATTAACAAAGGCCTAGAATAGCAAATTTTTATAGACGCACATTTTTTTATAAGAATTAGGCGTGGTGATTTGCCGGGATTGGCATCATGGGCATGGCAAATATAGAAACTGCCACCATAGTGCAAATAGCATGTCCTAATTGAGCAAATTTTTGAATGAATGGAGTATAAGATGCAAAAGCTGATTCTTTACAATATATGGATTGGGTTAATAAGAAAATTAGTAACGTATAATGATGTCTTAACTTGTAAGCAAAAAAGTTATCGAAAGAAAACCCATTTACATGGTTTGTTTGGATCTCCGTCAAAGTTGTTTTTTCTTTCCTTTCTCATATCTTTGCAGCTGTTCATGGAACTCAGAACTTGCGAGATCATTTGCTTTATCTATATATTTGTTAAGTTTTTCTGGAGCAATTCTGCTTTCCCCATCTGCTTCTATCTTTTTGTAGGTGAGAAAAAGTCACTCATTTCACTGATCAGTGACTCATCTACTCAAACCCAGTGTACTCATTCTTCATAAACAAAAATGAGCAAATTAGCAATTTAGATCAATGGTTTTGATGGCCAAATTTCTGCATTTTGGCAGTTTTTCAAATCCCTTTGACCGTCACAAATTGATTTGGCCGAAGAAGCAAAATTTGGCTGAATTCTGGCCGCATGTTGCAAAAAAACAACGAAATGCAAAGGAAACAAAAAATTTTCCACAAATATTATTCCAAACTTCTAAAATAATTTCAAAATTGCAAATGATGAATGATGAAACAAAGCAAAAGATAACAGACAATTTAAGATAAAAGCAAGTGCAAACTTTTGCAACCTACAAAGAAAATTTTGATTACGCTATCACTCCCCACAATTAGAAAAAAATTAGCTTTTTGTATACTGCGTTTAGCAGACTGAATTTGGCCGCCAACTATTCCAAACATCTGGCAAAATCCTGAAAGTGAAAAGTCCCAATATACTCCCAATTTACTCCAATTTGACAACGATAGACAACGGATCAATTTAAAAATGATTTTTTTGAAAAATATCCAAATTATGCTAGTCCTTATGCTAAATGACGATTTTTGGTCAATGTTATGCTAAAACCATAATGTTATGCTGGATCAGGTCACACAACACCCCTTTCAGAAAATAGTTGCTTCTTCCAGTCCTTATTTATGAACATAACGATTCAGAAAAGATTTCAATTAATATAAAAATACAAACCGAGTTAGATAAAATGCAAATTTATCTCTGACCGCACAAGATAAAGCACCACGAAAAAGAACAAGAACGGGTTCCCAGCAGAACTGCTACTAATGGGTTCGTTAGCGTAAACCTTCAAAACATTTTCTAACCTATTATTGGAAAACAGTTAGGGAGGACTATGATGTAACATTCCCAATTAAATGTTCTTCCCATCCCAGCTACCGTCGAGAGGCTTATTATCGTTCAGCTGCTATAGCCTTGAGAAAAGTCTTGCCAATGCTTTTCCAATTTAAAACACCCTAGTTGAATTGCTTTATAACTTTCTCTCACATCTACTGAAAGGTATCACATAAACTCTAAAATACATTACGGGCTGAAAATCATAATCTCAGTCTCGGTCTTCAGGCTCAGTGTTTTTTTTGAAGCAAGTCATAAAAGCAAACTAAATTGAGATGATGTCTTGAAGTTAAAGCTGTATACAGAGTCCATCTTACTTCAAAATAGCACACAACAATATTCTAAAGCGCAATTGA